AATGGATGTGGTTACTATGCTGAGTTGATTTGGCAATTTTCATCTGAACTTCACTGTAACTACTGTCTGGAGCTTTGGATGAAAGCTGTTCAAAATGCTACCAACATTATTTTATGAACTAACGTCAACTACTCGCAAGTAGTTAAATTATTTTAGCAATATTTTCGGATCGAAACGTCAACTGCAAATTTGAAAATTATCAGTGATGTTTAGTTGTGAAGTGCAAAACTGATTCTTCCTCCTATTAGAGGAAATTTTAGATGGATATACCTACATATACATTAGTAATTCAACTGAGGCTTCCACTAAGAAGTCACCACTTTCGGTATCATAAGATTATCTCCGACCGATTTATCTTTCTTGCCTAGTACTCTTCACCTGACTTCAGCAATGCTCACACGATGATTACACCGGACACGAGTAATGCTACGAAGGCACCGATGATCAAAACACTGTGGTCACTTCATTTCTTATGCTTCTAACTTCTATGCGTAACTGCCACATAACAGGGTAGAATGAACTGTATACTCATCCTTTGATAAATAGTCGGATATCTCGCCGGCTAGCTCCATAGACGTTACAAATTAGCAGAAGTCGAACGGACCTTCCGTATCCCGGCTGAGATTTCGTTCTGGCTGATACAAATCCACAAGTAGGTCAAGTGTTTGAAGCATTCCACCACTTCACTCTGTATCATTAGGCTGGGAGTATTTGCAGGAGACCAGTCTTGCAGCATTGTCTTACATTCGACAGATGACAGCGAAACGTATGCCAAACAATCCCACATTTCTGCCAAAAGAGTTCATGAAACCCTACATTTTGCTGGCGTCTCCACCAGCAGGACAATATTTTCTCCGTACTCCAAATCAACCAGATGGCCCCTAGGGAGTAGGTCGTTCCTTGGGAAGACAGATGTACCTTAGGTTATGTCCATTAGTTTGCCTATAAAGAAGTTTAATAGGAACAGTGACAGTGGTTTTTTCCGTTAGACACCACTAGTTGTTGTCAGTTCACTTGGCAGTTCTTCATGAGCCCTGACACGGCTGTATGAGTTCGAGTAGAGAGCTCTGATAATGATTCTATACTTCTTCGGTATTCCCTTCACAGCTAGACACTGCCATAACACCTCATGATCGGCAAAGTAAAATTCCTCCTTCAGGTCAAGAAATATGCCAAGTGTCGGCTTTTGGTCTGAAAATATGATCGATGCACCCTCGTCCAGTTCTGTCTGAAACCTTCTCGGTTTTCTCGAGTTTACCGTTCTAGAACTCTAGTTAGGCGTCACATTGATCCTAGGATCTTGGACATAAGCTAATTAACAACCTCTGATTCTAATACATTACCTAGCACCTCCACCTTTGAAAGCGTCAGGTTGCAAACTGTCTGATCCTACTGCTTTGCATCGTCTCAGATCCCACACAATTTTCCCAACCTCACAGACAGTTGGAGGACTTACATCTACATCCCATTCAGGTTGAGGCTATATGTTGGACAACTGAAGCGTTGGTAGGGGGCAGTTGAATTATTATTCAAAGTGTTCGGTCTAACTTTCCAGCCGTTTGTCCTGAGAGGTTATTAGCGTCCCATCCCTTCTGATGATGGTTACACTCACCATCATCTTTTTCTTACCAACATCCTTAATAAGCCTAAGTCGTTTCCGAGTGCTAAAGACCACTGATACCTTCTAAATGTCTCTGACTTTCGCTACCCATCACAATTCATGATCGATGCAAAGACGCTTGGTCAGCTTAAGTTGACCAAAGCCCTAGGCTTATTTGTAAACGCATAAAAGTCTGTATAACTTATAATGAAATGCATGGAAATCTCTGATTTTCTCATTCATTTGCATCTCAAGTTTGCAGTAATTATCCATAGAACAACGTTATCTTTGAATTAGACAAATATCATCACAAGCGCTTTTTTATTTGTCATCTTCGAAGTCGACATTGATCTGTCGTCTTTGTCAGTCGAGTTATGGAGAAAAGAAAAATTAGAGAGAAAATTTGAAAGTTAACAGTCACACTAATTATTGCCGAATGAAATTATCCAGTTCGACAGAGAGTTAGACATAGTCTAAAAAGCTGACTAACACTACACTTGATTTGAGTAATAAGTGTTGTAGGTAATAATCCCAGAGAGGACATGAAATTCCTTAAACACACCTTACTGATGACTATCAGAAAGTGTGAAACCTCGATCTCAAGCTGACTGACTCTTAACAACTAATACACAAGGATTGTTTTACTAAAAATTTACTATGTTGATTACATCTTCGTCAGGAACTGGTTTCCAACCACACAGATCTTCATTTCATTCTAATATTTCTGGTATCAAAATAGTACTTTCTTGTGTTAGAGTTTCTGTATGTTATGAATCAAAATGTTTGAATTATCTGTCGTTCAATTTAAACCTACAAAACATCAGTGAAAGCACTTCAGTGTAGATTTACACATATGTTTTATTGAAACAGAGAATATGATGTGATTAGTTTTTCTTTTTTCGGTTGTTTCATCTGTATAAAATGCTAATTCATACATTTCTCACTGATGATTGATGAAATTCCAGTATGAATATATAAAATTCATGTTATTTTGACCACCTGTACAGTTATCCCACCTTCTATCAGGAGAGGTATCAAATATGACTGATAATGGTGTTTATATTATGCATATGTGAATTATTAATGGTGAAAATAGGGGAATTGTAAAGCCAACAAGGCAAAAAGTGGCTTTCCAGCATTTCTTGTTTGTGCATCTATGTGTGTGTGTGTGTGTGTTGAAGCTAATGTGTGAGAAAGATGGAACGTGTATTATCTATATGGAAGTATTTTTGTTTTGACTTGTTTTGTAAACGTATGAATCAAATTAGATATTTGCTAAAGTATACAGTTCATGATGAGAAACTTCATCATTATTATTTCCGATGGAAAATAAAATATTCAGATCACTCAATGTGTTCTACTCAACCCTACAGCTGGTATAACGATCGCAAGCATGAAACTGTGTGTTCGAGATCACTTACACTGATTATCAGTGCTTGCTAACTAAACACTAATTAAGTAGATAGCCAAAATTCAGGTGGTTTAAAGGATTCAGCTCTTTGGAATAATCAGTTCCGTCTCAAAACAAAAAAACGCCAGTCCGGTGTTCAGATCAACCTAATGTCACTAGAGAGAACTACTGATTGTGATTGGTCTATATCTAGACCTCCTAGTTATTATTATTATTATTACTATTAATCCTTTTGGTTCCTACTGGAACATAGGACTTCAGTATCACGTCACCACTTCACTCTGTTCTCTGAAGACTTCTCAATCTCGCTCCATTACTGCCCACAAACTTTCATTTCTTCATCACACCATCTCCTCCATGTCACTCTCGCCTCGGACGCCCAACTCATCGTTCCCCAATTGGGTTCCACCCGACAATCTGGACTGGCCTGGCCTGGCCTGGCATGGCATGGCATGGCATGGCATGGCATGGGACATGATGTCCCCAAACCATCTTCTCAGTCGATGGCCAGCCAGCCACACTTCCTCTGATCTCATCTTCAGTATAGAATGAGTATAGGCGTCACCTGTTGATGATGTATGTCTGCAGTTTGTTTGAAATGCTTTTGGTAGCGCGCCAAGTCTCTCAACTATCACACAGAAGGACTGACTTACTTGGCTGACATAAGTTTTGAAAATTCGGATGTTGTTCACGCTTTATGCTGAATTTAGTGCAGTGCAGTGCAGTGCAATGAAGTGGAGTGGAGTAGATCTCCACACTGTTTTCAGATTGATGAAGGAAGGCCTGTCTTACTATCTTTCCGATCGCGGTTTTGACGTCCTCATATGTGTCGCTGCAGTCGCCTGTGGTTGAGACGATGCTGACTAGGTAGGTAGGTAGGTAGGTGAAAGAAACAACTTCCTTGAGATTTCTCTCATCGATGGTGGTTGGTGTTTGTTGTTATTGTTATTATTATTACTGGTTGGGTATCTTCATCACCTCTGTCTTCTGTACGTTCACTTGAAGGAAGTGTAGTCTTCCTTCGCTGCCTCGTCTTTTTTTCCAGCTTGTTGGTTTTTGCCTGTACATCTTCGAGTTTGTACGATGAGACATTAGACGTTTATCATCATCATCATCATCAGGGGCGAAATTCAAATCTTTCAGGGTCTTTTCATCGGTCTTCTGAAACGGCGTATGCCCCTCTTCGCACTCCTCACAGTTGTCTGTTGCATGACCCAATCCAGTCCAATTGACCACAATCAGAAAGATCATTGGTGATGACAGTAGGCGGCAGCTTTGTCTTGTCTTACTCCTTCCTATCTTCACTTCACTTCAAACGCGTCACTGAGCTGACCTTTCCATTGTCAATGACTTGGCATGTAGCATCCTCATATGGCATATGGGTGCTGTTCAATGAGGTTGATAAAGTTTTATGGCACTAAAACCTTGATGTTGAAGAAATGAGCTGTCAAATTACTTGTTGGTCGACGTTGTCGTAGGCCTTTTCCAAATCGATGAAGTTGAGGTAAAGATCCATTTGACTGCCATTCTCTGGTCTGTTCTATGGTGATGCGTAGTGTAGCGTTGAAGTTTGATTCGCACATGATTTGTTCTTCCTTAAGACAGACAGACAGCGTGTTCCGGTTATAATTTTGGAAGCGGTGCATCATTTAGTCTCATCAGGATGATGTGGCTTAATATTTAGCTCTGTGTGGACAGTTTTGGAGCATGATTCCACGCCAGTTTTTGCAAGCACATAGCTTTTGTCGCCCCTGCCTGAGAGTTCGACAAGTTAGTCCTTCTTCCATTCGGCAGGTACTTTCCTTCCTTCCAAACCGTCTGCAATAGTTATTTTATTTCATTGATTGACATCAAATGGAGAAGTATTATAAACCCGAGAGTACTCGCCTGTTGTTTTATTCTAGTGTAGAACTCTTTAATCGACTAGTTGTTGGATTGAGGATAATTTATTTCCTCTTATATTATCATTTATCAATTTGTTCATTTTAGGCACGTGAAGAAATTCGTATTCTAGAGACTTTAAGAAATATGCGTGATTCATGTGGTGGTGAGACAAATCGATACGACTTTCCTATTATTCATTTATATGAATACTTCACATTTCGTAAACATATCTGTATGACATTTGAACTGCTTAATATTAATTTATATGATCTATTGAAATTGAATAAATTTACTGGTCTTCCAAGAGATCGTGTTCGACGAATATGTTTTCAAGTGTTAAAAGCTTTACAATTTATACAAAAAGCAGGAATTATTCATTGTGATTTAAAACCAGAGAATGTTCTACTTGTTTGGCCACAATCTCCTGAAAGTGATAATCATCATCATAGTAATAATGGTCAACAAATTTCAAACAATCACCATGGTTACAGTCAAAAGTATTATCCATATCAAAGTCATAACGTTATTACAAATACTATCAATGGAACTGATTCAATGACTAATTTACGTTCAATGTATCAAGGTGGAACAGAACAAAAAGATTATGTGAAATTAATTGATTTTGGATCAAGTTGTTTTCAGAAAGGACAACCCTATCCATATATTCAATCAAGATTTTATAGAGCACCAGAAATTCTACTCCGATTAGGTTATGATCAAGCAATTGATATATGGAGTTTTGGTTGTCTTGTAGCTGAACTAATCAATGGTGAGTAGAACTTTAATTGATTTATGTTTTGCACACTTCTAGGCCTCATCAGTAACATAACATCTTATATGATATCAGGTCTTAAATTTAACCCGTTAAGCTATACTATCGTACCATTTCACAAGTAATTAGGCAGAAGGAAGCTATTCTGCTTCAGTTTTGTAAAGATGCAAAGTTTGGAATCATTTATATACATTTTTTTCATCAATAGCTATTCAATGCAAGTTTTAGGTTTTGGATGGTTTGTAACACACTAACCAATAGGAATTATTGGTCCTATTGATTTGTTTGTTAGTCATAATTGAATTTGGGAGTTTGTGGGGGATTCAGTGATTATTCAAATTCATATTCATTGTGAACTGACATCATTTGGAAGAAGACTGGGAACCTGAAAGTAATGGAGAGTTGTTTCGTCCTACTTTGGGACTCCTCAGCAACGCATACCTATGGTCCCAACAGGAATCTAACTCAAGACGTTCAGATTTCGTGATCATCACGTTTCTATTGAGACAGTGAGTTGAGATCCAGTGATCTTTATTTTCTACCCCTATGAGTTCGCGATATAGCAAGACCCCAATCCAATGACATCGTTGAGTACTTGTCCTAATTTTCGACTTGGTTGACCCAACTGGTTACAACTACTAATTGGAACTTTAGAAATCATCTTTCAAAGTGAGTCACCAATAACCACTACATTAATACAGTTTGGAGCATTATGGGGGATTTATTTATTGATTTTAGGTTTGTGTATTTTATGTAAATGTGGCTTAAAAAGACCAATTCACTTACCAATGATGATGCCTAGTCAACTTGACTCTACAATGAATAGTCGAAGAAAAAAACACCTTTAACCATCTCTTTGGTACACACAAAGATGTTACTTGGAGAAGATAATTATATTCTCATCTTAATAAGAAAATTGCTCAACAACAGTAGTATGAAGAGTTTTAAGTAGTCAATAAATCCTTATGAATCGATAGATTCTCTTTAAAAGTGATAAAATTCTCCAATTGAACATTACATACAAGAAATTTCATATCTATCTTCCTGTTATCTTTACTAATTTTAACAAAGTATTAGTTTAGATGAACGCAACACTCACACACACACACACGTAAGAAGTATATCTTGACTTTTCTGTTTAGCTAGCTATCATCATCAGTACCTGAGAAGATATACAGTGGTGGAAGGAATAATTATGATCTTTAGTCGAAGGTGCAGTCCACTTTAGAACAATGGAAGTAATCCCTGGACAGTGGACATCACTGTCAACTGATAGTTATCGAGACACAAAGTACTTCATAGCTGAACATAAGAACCGATCGATGGGTAACAGGTTCGTGCTTGGCACCACTTCATTTTGGGGCTAATCAATTTATGTAGAGACTGTTTATCTTATGGAGTGATACTGTCTATTTGGACTTAATCATTGTGTAGTGTAACTAACGTAGCTGTTGATTCCTTAATGTTGATCCACTTTATATCAAATCAATTTTGTATTTATATTCTTTGTATTACTCATTGTCAAGTATAGTTAATTCAATAGGACTAGGCCTATAGTTTGCAAGCGACCAACTTGAAAAGCATCAAGCACTTTGAAATGTATTCCTATTTACTGTGTACTCTTTCATGTCACATTGAATTTAGTGCTGATGGTGTTGTCCAGAAACTTATTGAAATTTTTATAATAAAATCGTTTACCTCATAGAATGTAACACCAGAGAAAGCTTATTACTCAATATGTAGTTCGATATGACTCTTCTCAATACTCTACTTAGATGATGTGTGTAAATAAAGCAGATGGAAACACTTCAGCAATAATAATAATAATAATACCAAGGGAATCAAAATTGACCGAAATGAGAGATCGGGCGACTTTAAAGGCCACCCTGTCAATTGATGTAATAACCAATCAGATTTTGGCATTCTAGCTAGAAAGTTAGTTTCCCATAAAATAGTGAAACTTAATCTTAACAGTTGCTAGGGTGGCTTTTAAAGTCACTCAAGAGATCATTCAGTATTACAAACAACATCAAGTTTAAAAGTGTTTCATCTATATATAGAAGTTGGTTATGCAGCATAACACCTAGCTTTCTTGATCATTTAATTTTCGTTTACTTTAAACTTACACGGTGACCTTGAACGATGCCATTGACCAAACATCTAACTGCCAATCAATAGTAAACAATAAGCAGTAAGAATTATAAGTCACTTATATCAAAGTCAATTTCGTGGCTAATAGTCGAATCCTGTTTTAGACACTTCATCTGGAAGTATCTTCAACCAGTGAGTGTTGTTCCTCCTGAGACTCAAATGCCAAAGCAGTTACAGCTAAACCACAGGGGCAATAGAGCCATAAATTATGAAACGGGTATCAACTGTTATTCATTGATACTTCTAATTTCTCGTTGCTATCCTGCGATGTGTGTATCGATTAGTCGACAAGTTACTAGGGTTAAATTTTGCTTAGCATCGACACTCACAACTACTCAAGGTCTTCTTTGACGCAAGTTTAGTTGGACCATTTCCTCTAACTTATGGATAGCTGTTTATACAAGCCTGCTAGCTGACGGAATAGTCAGATTGACAAATACTGATTAGCTGCTGGGTAACTACCATTGTCTGAGTGCGTTTTGTATCTCTTTGGACTTGTCTTTCCGTTAAATTTCCAAAGAACCTTTAAATCTAGTGCTTTCTGTCAATTGCCTCTCTAAGAATTCTACACCACTCACTCAATAGCTACTTTTCAGGTTATCAAGCCTAGATTTAGTACATCTTACCTGTTTTATTCCTAAGGAGTATATTTTCATTAAAGTTGACACTTCCAGTCATACATCACTGTGTGTTACAGAAGTTTTAAATGGAACTGAAATCTGGTCAGTGTCTCCCATCATTCCTATTCATCCTAGAGTGAGCAGAACATACAGCGATATCTTTTGACTGGTCTGTTTAATGCCTAAGAAATCAGTGGTACACGTGATCACACTCACTCCAGCAATTTTTCAATACAGTCATCATTTTTATACTGGTTAGTTACTGTAAGGTAACTAACTTCATGTTATTTAGTCCTATGAACTGAACGAGTTCTGTCGATTAGTCTATCTAATCCACTCCTATAGGAGGTTCCGAACGTGAGGCGTAGCTCAGTGGTAACCTCTCTAAATACAACATTGGATGATGCGATTTCGAATCTCAGACGGGACGTCAGTTCTGTCGGGATTGCGGATACGATTTGCTGACGAGTGCCAGAAAGTGTGAAACCTAAGCAGAAGGCTTCCTGTCGGTTGCCTCTATCCAACTGGCAGTTGTCAATCTTGGTGGTGTTGAAAAATTCACTTCTTTGTATATAGTTTTCTAGGCTACATATCTGATGATATCAATCTTTAATTGAAGTACAATGAAGCCGTCGACTGTGATCTAACTGAATAAGCTGCAGTCCATCGATAGAATTCAACCATAGTGTAAATCGAAACAAGGTCCATAAGCTAACAATATTGTTTTTATATTGGGTGATGGTTGAAAGTGAAATGGAAATTCGAACCAGCGACCGGTGGGTTTGCCGATCGATGCTCTACCAACTTAACTGCTGGCGTGATTTTCATTTTACTTCAATCACTAAGTGCTATCTCAGATAGTCAAAATGACAATCAATATAGTGCTCCTCCTCTCTCTAATTCAGTTAGATTTCGATTAGGATGAGAAGTCCCGGCTAGGCAACCACTGGAAACACGATCAAGTGGTAGTAACGCGTCATGAATTCACATACTAGTCGGGAAAAATCCTTAATGACTAAATCGAAATTGAAATCCTATCAGCAGTCGGACCTCGTAGCTCAGTTGGTACAGGATCAGGTGGCAAACCCATTGGTGGTTGGCTGGAATCCGGCCACGGTTAAACAAGGCAAACCACTTGATAACTTAACAGATGAGTTGCTGAATATCTACCTTCATGGTTGGAAAAGGATAGATAAAATCTATCAGAAGTTCTATTTTATCTCATCTCGTTGACATTGGTCACTTGGTAAATAAGAACAACACTTTCACAATTATTCACCACATACCACATCATCTTTTGAAGGGTATTCAAACTTGCTTTGACAACACATAGCAGAAGCTGTGGAAATTCAAGCTAGTCATCCTACGCTTTGTATCCAAAAGTTTGTACATGCCTTGGCGAGGGAATACTTAATAAACAACTTTATCACAGAAACGTTTCCTATTCCTTTTATATACTTACTTTATACTTGCTTTTATATACTTATTGGGGTGCAGGTACATCCAGCTGACGAGTCCAAAATGGGACGAAACACGAGTACTGGGTTCTTTTGCTAGTCACAACCAAGCAAGTTATCTCACCATATTTGTCTAAACTTTGTTTATCCACTTACTTCATCTTTCAGTATTATGTGACTTTTACTTTTTCCAAGCTTCTGACCCACTTCGATTATCGGGGTATCAACATTTTCTTGTTGTTTTCTTGGTTCTTACTATCATTATCATCTATATTACAACTGCTTTCAGTTGATAGTCATCACTGACTGACGTCGACTAGGGAGACATTAGAGACTTGGGGATAGTGGACAGATGTTTCGTTGCAATATGCCACTCCTCAGCAGCGTACATTCATGAACCTGACAGGGATAGAACCCAAGACTTTCAGGTTCCGTGGCCAGCATGTTGCCACTGAGCCACTGGGTTGGAATGCCGACCTGAAATCAATCAAATCCGCACAAACCCTCGAACTGAACAGATCTAGTACTCATTGGTAACTCACTTCGAGAGGTGACTTCTGAAGTTCCAATGAGTCGAACATGCGGACAAGAAGTCAGCGACTGCATCGGATGAAGTTTGTACTATATCGCGAATTGGAAATAAGAATAGGAAATACTGACCAGTGGTTTCCAACCTAGAAGTTCAATTATAAAGTGATGGTCACTAGACCTGAAAGTTCCAAATCCGGTCCTTGCTGGGGGTCATGGGTACTCACTGCTGAGGAGTCCCATGCTAGGACGAGGCAGCTATCCAGTACTCCGAAGTTTCCACTTTCTCCAACGGACTTCGGTTCATGATGTATACCAACCTGAAACTAATAAATAAATCCCCACAAGACTTCAAACTGAACAACTGCTTTACTCAACATTATCATGCTTATTATTTTCATTATCGTCCACGCGGACTCGAACCTTAGGCATGGGATATGTCCTGTTGAGAAAAAAACATGGTTGCAGCAAAGAAAACCTTTCCTTTCTGACGAAGTCATTTACTAATTTTATACTGGGTGATGATTGAAGGTGAGATGAGAATGTAAACTTCTGCCGGATTCGAACCAGCGACCACCGGGTTATCTGTCCGGTGCTCTACCAACTCACCTACGAGGTCGGACTGGTGATCAGATTTTCATTTTACTTCAATCACAAGTGGGGTTTTGGCCGACTACCATATGAATTCGTGACGGGTTACTGTCGTGTGGTCGTATTCACACAGGTCCCTAGTTAACAGTCTGACCTCGTAGCTCAGTTGGTAGAGCACCACGTCAGTAACTTGATGGTCACTGGTTCGAACCCGGGAGCAGTACAGATACTCGTCTCACCTTCAATCATCACCCAGTGCAAAATACTAGTCTGCCAAACTATGGCTATCTGAGATAGCCAAATGATAATTTACTGATTTATAGATTAGTGAGTATATGTTACGCTGGATAGAAGGTTCTAGAATTATTTCCAATCAAGGGGTAAAAGGAAGTTAATTATTACAAATATGGGTTTAGGTCAGGAAAATAAACAAGGGATTATGAAAATTAACTGTATAATACAGGGGTTTATAATGGCCACGGCAAACATAAAGGTTGGACATGCCTTTTTTTGGACACATAACATTAGTTTCAACTTGTGAATGATTAGTGTTTCGCCTATACTTAAATCTGTTCGAGTGATTTGATCAGACCTCGTAGAGGATTTTGAATGAATTCTCAAAAGAAAGTTGAATGATCTGTGTTCACAAGGTGTTATATGTTATTGAGCTGAAGATACATTTCCTTTCTACATTTGCTAACCAGGTTGGATAGTGTTGTTTTACTCCATTGTAGATTTATCCTGTATTGCATAATTACATTTCATTTCATAATCTCTTGTTTATTTTCCCAACCTTAATCCATATTTATAATAATTAACTTTCTTTGTTGATTCATTGAATCAGCTTCCTGATCGGAAATAATTCTGAAACGTTCTGTTCACTGCAACATATATTTACGAATGTAAAGCTTAGTAAATGACTTAGTCGAAAAGAAGAATTTTTCTTCTATGAAATTGCGTTTCATCTTTCTTTATGATCAGATGGGTGTATTCTGTTGTTTAAAGAGTTCTGTTGAGATTACAGACACGTCTTGCTGACGACAACCGACAAGCATGTGACCTAGGTTAAGCACAGTTGCCAGCTAATTGTCTCTATCCAACTAACACTCTTATAGTCTCTCTGTCACGCACAAATACACACACATACACACACAGACTTCACTAATGTGACCATTTTCCTATGGTTATGTAAATCTAAAATAACAGTACAATCCCTTACCGTTTTTTTCTATTTTAGGCTTACCGTTATTTCCCGGAGAAGATGAAGCTGATCAAATGGCGTGTATCATGGAAGTACTTGGTCTACCTCATCCCAGCCTATTACGTAATTCCTCTCAAATTGATCGTTATTTCATTGAATTCAAATGTGACAAACTTAAACCATCCACCTTGGAATTTATTGACAAAAAGGGTGTCAGAGTGAATAGGGATACTGTCTACCTTCCACGTTATTGTTCAATACGCTATCCAGAAAATGATAAAAATAATTCACCACAATTACTACCGGGTCTTTCAAAACGCGGTGGACATGTCCGCGGTATACCTAACAGTTTGCCATTATTACAGGCTATTACTCAGTCAAGACTACGTCGTTATAGGCGTAAGGATACCCGCAGTGTGACTAATTTATCAACAGCAATGAATAGTAATACTTATAATAATAGTAGTAATAAGATTTCAGAAGAAGAGGAAGCCTATTTCGATAAAGATAATGAATTAGTTGTGGATTTAGTCTCCTCTTGTTTATCTTGGTTACCAAATGAACGAATTCAACCGAACAAAGCAATTGTTCATTCATGGTTCAGTCATTTCTACAATAGTAAACCGCATACTACAGGTTTTCGAACACCATTCCGAGTAAGAAGTATGGAAGTAACAAAATTTGCTCCATCTAAATTAACCAACGACTTTAATGAACGTCATTTAACTAATGACTATCGTAATGGTCGTGATTCATTAAGTAGAGAAGTTATGCTGAATAAATCTGAAGGATTACGTAATTGTGGCCAACAGAAACCGGCTCGATTAAGTTTAACTAACAATCAATTGATAAGTTTAGATATTCCAAGTAATAATGCTTCATTGAATGACTTGACAGTTCTAACAACGTCACTGACAACAACAGCAACAACAACAACAACAATGACAATGACTCGAGTTAGAAATGCTAACATTCCATTCATGGTTGATGCACAGATTAGTCCAATCAGAGAGGATGAGTTGAAAAGAACCCAACGTAATTCACAAATTACTATTGTTCAACAAATACCATCACAGAATCAAGCTGCACAATCACAGCTACCACCATCGTTACCGCCAACAACAATGCAACAACAACAACCAGCTTACTTTGTGACTGTCTCTAGTTCTCCGATCATCTCTTCAGTTGGCCTATCACAAAATAAATCAGGATTCAATTCTATATCCTCTTGCACGAATAAATCGTTATCGTCTACAGCTAATCGCCGTGTTACACTGATTTATCCAAACAACAACACCAACAATAACACTGTTACCAGTCTGAGTATGAATGATGATCAAGGTATGATTGACAGTAAAAATGAGGTTGAGAATAGTCAAAATGATCGACTGCTGGCAGTCAATTCACAGTTGGATCATCTCAACAATAAACATCACAGCATACGTGATGATATTACTATAAACAATACAGTTAGTAGTATTGCTCAGTTGAACAATGCTATTATTGACAACAGTAGCACCAGTAGTAGTAGTAGCAGCAGCAGTGGGATTGACAATACCAATGTAATTGAGAATGCAGCAATTCAACACTCAATTTTACCGCCAGCACTTATCACATCTTATAATGAAGTTATTCGATTGAATGACTTTCAATCAGATATTATACAACAGAAAATACATCCACCAGTTTATACGAAACCTGAAACAATCTATCAAAGTAAAAAGTTATTAGATCGTAACAGTACTACTTATAATAATAACAGTAACATGAGAGGTTTCATCGGTAACATAAACAATATAAGACCATTATCAGAATTTAATGTGAATAATTATAATCATTCTAATGAATGGGATAGTAAAACTCATGTGATGAATGAACAGGAGACTGAAAGTCCAACATTATTAATTACTGGTTATTATTCATCAACATGTGAGTCAACACCACATCTGCCTAATTTAATCACATTGAATCAGCATAAAAGTTATTCAGCAATGTCAAAGATGGTTCATTCACCTAATCGATATTCATATTCAAATCTACATCAATCAATACCATTTATATCTTCATTAACTATTGATAAATCATTAAATAATAGTATGAATAATATAGTCAATATACCAAAAATGAAATTAGCCTATGATGTACAACAGTCAACAACTTTAGTAAATAATATAAAGAAAAGATATTCAGAACCGACACGTTCAAGAGTAATTGATATACCACAAACAGAATATGAAATACCAATTAGTGATAATGATAATAATAATAGTAATAATCATACTAATGGTTACAATAAACAAGATATTCATTTTATACCAGTGACATCTACTCCGGCATCGACATCATCATTATCCTCATCGTATGTGATGATATCGAATGAATCTGGCCAACAGTATAAGTTGAATACAAACAATACAGCCTTGTATAACAATCATCATTATGAAACACCGTATAAATATCCATCCAACTGCCATTACCAACGCCAACATCAGAAACACTTGAGTGATTCATATCATACTACTTTTAATACTAACAGTAGTAATAATAATAATAATGATAATAATAATCAATTGAGCAGAGCTTACCAGTCGAGTCAACAAAACCAAGCTATTCAACTACAACAGCATGAACAATTCAATCGTTATGCACCAAGTTGGTTGTCTTACATTAATACTTCTGGTAATACTACTAATACTACCACCACTTCTAACAATAATAATAATACTAATCGCAACTTATCGAATTTCTCAAGAAATTATACTGAACTAAACGATACCACTAATAACAAGAACAATTGTATCAATGGCTATGATCCAGCTACCAATCATATAGATAATATCAGTAGTATGAATACTACTATTACACTTCCAGAGATTGCACCGAAACCATCAACTCGTACAAAATTAGTTATATCAAACCATAAAAATAGTGGTAATAATAATAATAGTGATACTAATAACACTGTTGATCAAAATAATCCTCTAAGATGGCATAAATCTAAATCTACTGAAGAATATAGTTCAACTAGTCTTTACGGTCCTCAACCATACAGTCAACCGAATACTGATTCATCGCACAGAGTTATTGTACAACATCTACCTCAGCATAGTATTAATAACACAAGTTATACAAATAATAATAATGGTTATATGGATCAAATTCAACCATATTATACACAGTATCAAGCATAACAGTTATTCAAGTGTAAAGAGATATACTTCACCTCTTCTGTTTTGTGTTTAAATCCTCTTTTTCACAATACATATACATTGATACATTGATCAGTGTTGTATGCATGTTGTAATGGATGATTTTTTTGTAGGAATATGAAACACAAATATGTTGTGTATTTCTTACATCCATTCTTTAATACAAATTTCCTTGCGAACAAGCATATGAACACGTGCAAATGTCTATGTATAACTAGGTTACATGTAAACACTGATACACACGGGAACAGCATTAGTTGTTTGCCTTAGAAACACTTGTAGGTCATACAATTCATTTATTTTTATTTTTGCAGAAGAGGAAAAGAAAACGAGAACTAGGGAATAGGAGGAACTGACCCTATTTTACTCCTAACAAAAATGACTATTATTCGGTTTCCTTTCCTCTTAATGTTTTCCCATGTTTGCTTGAGTAAGTGTATGTTTTCTCATATGGCATTCGTATTGCCATTCCCCACCTTCACGTGACTTTTTTCATACACAGTGTATAAACCAGAAGAGTGGGAAAACGATTTTCACATTTAAACTACTCTGTTCTCTGTTCCACAGATATAACTACTTATTATGCAATAGAATATACCACAGGCTGTATTCAAATCAGTAATGAGCTTTTTTCTCTCACAAAATTATTACTACTAAATTGAATTAAGTAGTTCGATTTTTATCCATCAAAAGTGAAAACAATAGTAATGTCTTTCATTAATTTTATCTAATTTTTATTTCCCTTCGTGTGATTCAGCCTTATCAATCTCCTACTGTTACTGTTGATGTTCTTTTTTTAAGTTTAAATCATTATGTTTTCTTTCGAAATCTTTTTTTCTTTTCGTTTATTTGATCACTTGAACAACAGTAACCGTAACAACCGTAATTATGACATCGACAAAACTAATGGATAGGCGTTACAAATATATTTTCTTAATTAACCTACAATTAACTTTACAATTAAGATGCTGAAGGCTTATTCACCGATATGTTTAATTTTTCTCTTACTGGTTTTATTTGTTAACTTATCAGTTTGTGATTATTTTGTTTTTCTTCATCTTCCTGATGTGACCTGTCTTCTCTGCATCGATTCTTTACTTCTTCCTCACGTAAGTCAGTTGAACTGCTTATACTACTTGCATCAAGTGTGATATAAGTGAGTAATAATAAAAATCATTATAAGTATGACTACGTTCACGCTTTGAATATAAGCTGTATGCGTGTGTTATTTCTAATAACTTCCTGTCTGTTTTGCATGTTTCTTTTTTTTTGTTTTCTAAAATTTCTATTATTCCTTTATTGATTTATAAATAAAACTATTTTACAACAGATGAAAAATAAATCAATTTTCAAAAATTGTTTTCTATTTCTCACTTCAAGTTGTTATTCATCGTAGACTGACATCAGTTGGAGGAACAAAGGTAACCTGGGAGCACTGGACAGCTATTTCGTCCTAGTATGAGACTCCTCAGCGGTGCACACCCACGACCCCGCCAGGGATCAAAGCGCTGGCCGCGGAACCTGAAGGCCATGGGTTCGATCCTTGGCGGGGTCATGGGTGCGCACTGCAGAGAAGTCCCATACTAGGACGAAACAGCTGTCCAGTGCTCCCAGGTTTCCTTTGTTCCTCCAGCTGATATCAGCCTACGATGAATAACAACTTGAAATATTTCCAAATCTCCACCACTCCCTCAATATTTCTCATTTGACCTCATTTCAAAGATTCTTAAGACACCAATCAAGCTTCGGTAAGAATTCATATGGATAACAGTAGGGCATTAAAAGAATTGGTCATCGGTGTTCTGTTCACAAACTGACTCATGAAAGTTGAATGATAGCTAGTGTTGTATCAGTTTTACTTCAGTAACCAATAGTTTTGACCAAGTTGTCATCGTGACGAAAGATGTCTTACTGTTCATTCTGTAATCATATGGGCTTCTTAATCACGTCGTCTTGCGTCAGACAAAATCTATCCGAAATAAAGATGTGGAAATGCCGATCAACTGTTCAATAAACTATATGAAGTAGTCTAATATCAGTGAATAGGTCTGTACATAATAACCTTAGCCTTAGAAGCTCTTGGTACTTGTATGATTCAAACCACAGTCCGTAGGTTTAACCTACAGGAATGAAGGTATATATTGCAACTAGATCATTGTTTACTTGATATTTAATCTCAGATATTGTTTAGGTGTATAGAGAATTAGATCTATCAAAATACAGAGAAATATGATTATTTCAAGGGGGTATTCATCACTAACTGATGTAAGCTGTGGAGCCATTTCAAACCTGGGAGAAGTGGACGACTATTTCATCCCAGGACCATTCTAAAGTCAGATATGAAAACAGGTAGCCGTTGATGATATTGTATGATTGTCATTCTTTGTCATGAATTGAATCATACGATTCTGAACTAATAGCTCAATGATAATATACTCACCACCAGAGTTGGTGGTTATAGGTTCGATTCCTGGCGGGATCAAAGGTGTGCATACCTCAAGACTTCCATACTCAGCTTTCAATGGCTCTCCAGCTAATGTTGTCAATTCTTAATGATAACTACGTTAGTCTACAGTTTATAATTAATAAAATCACCTAAGCTTAACAAATCAGGAATCATTTTTCATATACATCTTGATGAATAAGCTTTCAGTGGTATAAATAAACGCAATAAATATATATATATTTAAGAAACCCCTATTGAAGTAGAAAAGTTAATTTTTGTTGTTGTTGTTGATGTTCTTTGATCTTATAAAAACTGCTTCTCTAGTGAATAAAGCATCTAAGTGTTACAGTATGTCTAAACAACAAAAGGAGATAAATTATTTCATATTTTTCACATAACCACATAAAAACAACCTAGTAGATTTCAGAGTAAAATTTAAACACTGTGGTAGAATGTAATTTAATTTTAATTGATTTATTAGATATGTTTTATAAAATTCTTCTAACCAATAAATATCAAGATCACAGTTAGGTTAACTATAATTATATTGTGGATAAGGCGCAATCAGTAACAAGTTGAATATTGAACATATTTCGAATGGAATTTAAAATTTCCTCATGTAACTGAATATGATTTCTAAAGGGGATTAATCATACTGAGTGATGACTGTAGGTGAAATAAAGATGTACGTGATGGAGTGAACCCAATCAATGACCACCGGGCTACCGTTTTAGTGCTCTACTGAATACCCTAGTAGACTGATATAAGGTGATATACTGGTTTAAATTTGTATCACCTAATTAACTAGTTCACTAGTTACTAGTCGGTCCTAAGCTCGGGTAAAGAGGACAGGTTGGGCATAGGACTAGCACCCCTACCCCCTAAAACCAATCCAACCGCTACAGAAACTTCAAACCACAGACAAAATATAAAAAATAAAACAAACTTATTCCTTGCTGGAATCAAAGAGACGAAATGAAACTAGTTGATGAAAGCCTTCGGGAAGCTAGTCGGCCGATGTGTCTTCTCTCTCTCAATGAAAGCGAAAGTAAGAATGGAGACATAGAATGTCCGCAACACGTATGAACCTAGCTGTCAAGGCTGCCCAGATTGCAAAAGAGATGAGGAGGTATGTTATGGAAGTGCTTGGAATCTGCGAAAGCAGGTGGAATGGCAGTGGACTCTCCAAACTCTTAACTGGAGAGCCAGTAATCTACTCCGATATTGTCACCCAGACGACAACCACGAGCACAGCACATTGAGTTTTGGAGTGACTATCATGATGTTTCCAGCAGTATCGACAGCTCTCATGCAGTGGGAACCAATCTCATCCAGGATCATACTGAGTGATGACTGTAGGTGAAATAAAGATGTACGTGGTGGAGGGAACACAACCAGTGAATACCGGGCTACCGTTTCAATGCTCTACCGAATGACCCAGTAGACTGATATAAGGTGATATGCTGTTTTATATTTTTATGGAAACTACTGATCACAACTTTAGTAGTTGTTCGATTTCTTAGGATAGTCTTGGTTTGTAGACCTCTTCAGAAAGACATCTCGCCTTGATATTGTCTCTTCAATCGATTTGGTATTAGAGCTTAGACTGACTTCAAGGGCTATCCTAGTAACTGCTGAAACAGCCAATCAATTTTCAGTATTTTGACTGAGAAGGTAGTGATCGACTATCTCAACAGTTGTCAGGGAGGCCGTTAAAGTTATTCAGCCCATATGGTTATATGCCTTCTTCTCGAAACTTCCAGTTATAGTGATTAGTTGTGATAGGTATCAGAGGTATTCAGCTTCTTTTAATAGTCTGGGAGCTGACACTCTAAATATCATAACAGAAAGTTTCATTCCCCTTTATATCAGCTGCTTTGCCTGATTAAACTATCAAAATTGTTGTAAAACAAAGTCCTCTTGGGATGGGGGGGGGGAATGAATGTTCACTAAGGAAATAGAATAACCGTTAAACTGTACTACAAGTCAACAAATGTTTTGAAACACAAAGTTTAATCTAATGGTTGAAATTTAACATAATGAAAAGGATAAAATGAACATCCCTGGGTAATCGGTTCCGTGTAACATCATAAGGTAGTACAAGTGAATAAAAAAGTAGCACAATGGCTATCCACGGCTACCTGATTCTCTGGATGATCTCCATTTCATGACGTCAAATACAATTCAACCAGGATGTATTAGTAGTTTAAAGCAATCATATGCAGCCAAACTTGAAAACTTTGAAGCTTCATACACTAAACCATATAGTATAGTTGTGTTTATATCATACCGTCGTTGATTGGACCGAATTGATCCACTGGATTCCTGGACTCCACTGCTAGCCATGATCCATAATTACTACTAAAACATATAGACAAGATTAAATTATGCGTTACTGAACTGAAACGAAATATTCACTATAGAATGCATACTATCCATGATTTGCAACCAGGTTTTTAGCAATCTTTCGAAGATTATGTCATGGAAGTATCAGAGAAACAGTAGAATATGACCAAGTTGAAATTAGTAAACCACAGAAATATATTTTCAATTTATTAGATATTGAATTGTCGACAGTTCAACTGGAAACATTACTCTTAGGTTCTAAATTTTGTACTAAGTTACTAAGCACCACCAAACTCCATATACAAGTGGAGTTTGAAAATCTTATCAATCAAACTCATAGCTTAAGATACCTACATCCAAAGAGCAACTGGAACACCTCGAATCAACAGTTCTCCTGAGTTGTTATAAGTTTATCAGCATAAAACCAAATGTAAGTGTAAAACTGTAGCCGCCAGAATCCAATAATCTTGGCCTGAACGCGGGAAATAACTAGGCGGTGCCAACTAACGCGAATCCGACTAGTTCCTGCGCTCTACTGTATAGCTTCCGAACTTCCGCGAGTGACGCATAGTCAAAGGTTGGATCAAAATATCGAAACATGGTTTGTAGTAATTCAGTAGTAGATTCGTAACAAAATCTGTGGTACTATCAAAGCAACAATAAGTTATATTGAAATTACAAAAATACTTCAACAGTGCTGTTGGGTAACTAACTATACAGTCCAAAACGTTCTCGGGTGCAAATACGTACTATACGGTAAAAACTGGTTAAACAAATACAACTGTTAAATACCTGACAGTCAATAAGAATATTCCCGACGAAAGAGATCAACACTCTGTCCACCAGAATCAAATCAACAAATGAAAGTTTCCAGTAGACAGTCAAAAGACAAACAGTCAAATTACAGCACAACCATAAGTTGGGCCAAAACAAAATGTCGGGTGCAGTAAAACAATATCACATAATAGGAAAGTGAAACATTCATGATAAGTCTCAATCATACAAAGGTAAATACTGAGTAAAAGGTCAAAGAAGACAGTCAAACAACTAAATAACATTACACTGGCTGGGGTCAAAGGTACACCATCCATAACGAGGGTAGAAATATTAAAATGAATGTCAATACAATCAAATAAGGGTGATCGGGAGGGATTTTCAGATCAATTTTCCGTTACGGGCACTGTCGTCAATTGTAATTCCATTTTAGTCTGTTTATTAGAAATATCATATAGTGAAACAGTAGCATTTACTGGATAGTGTTCCCGACACAAATTATTGCCCATATTCATATCATGTAACTCCACAACTTCGAGACAGGCTTTATATATTCCCAATTTTCTCTTCTTCTGTGTGATGACAAGGGTAGTAGAATTTTTCATAAATCGGGGACAGTTGCAGAATCATTTCAATTGCATGCACTCCGTGTGTATTAGATAAACAAAGATTCAGTCGGTTGTCAATCTCTCCCTCCACCCAACTAAGTTAGTTTTCAACACTGTCACCCTAGCCCACCCTACTGTGTGGTTGTATATCATCTCATGCAAAGCTATAGCCGGACTTTTCTCTAGATTTCTTATCCTATTAGGATCTACTAGCCTTGATTTAGCTAAGTTTTTGTGCTCTGTTATTCTAATCGACCCTAGTCGACTGCTTTCACTTATGTACTTGACCTCGCAATCATTACAACGGACCTGATAAACCAGATTATTTTGCTGAGTTGCATCGATTATTATTATTATTAGTCCCTTGGGTTCCTAATGGAACATACGTACTCAGTAGCACGTCTCCGGTGAACTCTCTTCTCTGAAATCTTTTAAACCTGGCCCCATGACAGCCTAAAAGCTCTCATTTCCTCCTCGCACCATCTCCTCTATGTCACCCTCGGACGTCCAACTCGTCGTTTCCCATCGGGGTTCCACTCGAGGGCCTGACGCATGATGTCCCCAGTCGGCTTTCTCAGTGTATGCCCAATCCATCTCCACTTCCTTCTGCATATTTATTGAGCAATAGGTTCTTGGTTGGTTCGTTCCCAGAGCTCCTTGTTGCCATCTGATCTTCAGTAGCGAGCGTAAGAAGTTGTTGATGAATGTCTGTAGTTTATTGGATAAGATCGATAGGATCTTTTAACCTACAAAGCTTGTTTCTAAGTGAGTTTGTTAATTTGAATGCCATTTTATTCCCAGCCTTAATGAGAATTCTTCGTAGTGCTTCTGAGGTGCCTTCCTTGTATGGTAACACAGCAGAGGCTGTGAATTCTATTTAACCCTGTCACCATTAGTAGTGGAATTATTATTAATAACAATAAATTGTGTCCGAAGCGTTATCCAGTAAATGCTACTGTTTCACTGTATGATATTTCTAATAAACAGACTAAAATGGAATAAAACCAAATGGTCAACCCATGTTAACTAAGAAACAATGAGAACAGGTTAGAGAATTGAGGAACAACAAGATTATAATGGTGGGTCCTGACAAAGAGATGGGTGTTGTATTGATGAATCGTCAAGAATATGTAGTTAAAGTGTAATCTATCCTCTTTGATGAAACAATGTCTATAAAACCCATCAGTGAGAAGAATAAGAAAAAGCAAACTAGAAAACAAGTAACCGACATTGTTGGAAAATTAATGACGGATTTTTTCATAGATTCTGAATTATTTGGATTCCAAATATCCCACGATTGTACAATGAAGACACACCTTGACGACCTATTCTTGACATGACAGGACTGCCTTATCATTGTATTGCCCAGTGGTTAGTCAACATCTTGAAGCCCATAAGAAGGCAAGTCTTACTTCACACAGTTCGTGACTCTTTTGAATTTTGGTAGTTTTATTGATAATGTAAATTACTTTGACAAAACTATGTTCACTCTAGATGCGGTCTCATCATTTACAAGCTTCCTATTGACTGGAACAATATGTTACACACGTTACTATATTAATTCTAATGGATTGGATGTTGGAATATCCACATGTTTTCTGAAGAAGTTGGTGTTGAGATCCACCGTTCAATTTTCTTTTAATACTAAAATATACAGATAAAAAATGGAATAGCTATCGGTTCACCACTGGGCCCCTTGCTTGCAGACTTCTCCATTTCGATCAACCGCTTCGAACTCCATAGGTGGTACGTAGATGCCATCTTTATCATCTTCAATAGTGCGAATAATGTAAAAGGTATCCTGTCTCAACTTAATAGCTGTCACCCTTCAAACAGGTTCACATTAGAAAAGGAACTGAATTCTAAAATAATCTATTTAGATGTGCAGGTAAAAAGAGGAGACAATGGATTACTTGCAACGTTTATCCAGAGAAATGCCACGTAGAATGAACAACTCATGAATTTTTATACTTGGTTGCCTCTACGCCCCATAGAATCTACACTGTCTACATTCCAGATACTTTGGGAGATGAACTAAATTTTTTCAAAAATCTTTCAGTTGAAAACCAGTATCCTGAGCATTTCATTGTTAAAACTATGAACCTGAAAGCATATAAGCATTTCACTTCTATGGCTTCCAAGTAACCTGTTTTCATGGGATTAAAGTTCAACGGAGACACATCAGCTGATGTATTAAGAAACCATCTGGCATCCTAATTAAGAAAAACTTTCTATGTTGCTAAATTCGGATAAACTGCCTCCACTCACCCAATGCTTCGATTATGTGTGAAAGATAAGCTATCTCCCTTGGCTACCTTGATGTGTGTTTATCAATTCGCTTGCTCCTATGGAGTAAGGTATATTGATATCCTAATCATTGTTCGCTTTCCAAACATATACCAGCCTGGTTCTACAAAAGAGAAAGGAGGACACTTCATAGCTCTATTTTAGAACATTTGATCGATTATGACCATCTAATAAATGCAGAAAATAACTTTAGTGTTATCTACAGAGTTCATGCAAACTTCATGAAAAATGTATGCCTAAAACTTCAAACTGAGGAAGCCATGGCAAATAATATTCTGAAGCCTGAACTCTGCATTCAACTGAAAGTTTCCCACTCACTCGAGTTGCAATGGACATAACGTATAAGAACACTTTTTTTACCTTCAAAGATCTGTCCATTCACTTCTTCTCACATTCCTCTACTCCTACAATTCTGATTTTGCTTTACACTCCCCGTGTTACATCATTTACCTTGGTAACCAAATATTAGTTCCGTCTTGATAAATTTTCTTCTCATTACTATTTCAAACATTACGTAATTTAGGGTTAGTATTCAACACGAATTGACATCATCTGGGGGATCATTGAAAACTTGGGAACACTGAACAGCCATTTCATTTTAGTATGAGGCTCCTCAGCAGTACGCACCCAAAATCCGTCTAGGGATCGAACTTAGAACCTTCAACTCAAAAACACATGTCATGTAATTCCTTTTTTGTCGACCTCCTGATTTATAATCAAATCTAAACTTCAAAGTAAAGATGGATAATGGCTAGAAGTGGAATCCAGGATGCGCATTTCGTCCTATTTAGGACTCGTCAGCTAAATGTACCTCACTCCCAATAAGTGATGATGTTCCCAGCGAGTTTTGAAGTCGGACACTAAATTTGAACTTCGTTCAACATATCTCATGAAACATTCCCCTTTTCTGTTGCTATATGAATAGAATATTTACATACAATTAATTGTACAGTTCGAGAATGATATCGTTGAAAAGACTGACTCTTTGTTAAACGTATTTTATTTTAGCACGTATTACTGAAATTTAGTTTTACATAGGGCAGAATATAACTCAAATAATATATTTTATTCAATTGACAAGTATTTATTAATATATTGGTGCTTATATTGATTTTTATACGAAAAAGTCTAATTATAAGATGAAATAGAATTCTATCTGTCAATTATAATAAGCAATGATATTTTGCACTTTTGTGTGTATGTATATATCGATTGATGAACAGTGAACAAATAATTATAACTATCTGACCTTGAAGAAAAAAATTAAATCATCAATAAAGTAAAGGTGTGATATAATACTTTTTATTCTATTTTTTTCCACGTTTATCAGGTTTCTTTTTACCTCCATTAGAGGCAATTTCATTTTCAGCCTGGATAGCTAAAGTTTTCTGTTTACCAAGTGGCGTTTTTCGATACCATGTCTATGAGGAAAATGATAACAAAAAAGTGTATAGATAAACTGGTTAGATTATAAATCTGCTGAGATATGCGGTTTATATAAATTAAGTGATGTCAAGAAATTCATTGGATAGTCTTCACATAAGGAATCAGTTAACCAGAGATCTGACTCACTGGCATAGGTAGGCAGGTAGGGAATTCCGAAATCCACCCCTCCTAACAACGTTTGTACAGCTACTTAGTAGTATTATTAGCCTTAAAGTAGCAGGTGGAAGTAACTATGACTTTCTTAAGGTGGCTAAGTGTCTAGTCATTGTTATATATCTTCGAACGCCAAAGGTTATATATATTCCGAATGAATAGAATACATACGCTTAGCTGACAGCCAACTTAGTACGCAAGAGGCACTGACTCCAACCTCGGGACGAATAGAGAGAAGACCGAAGCTGGATGATGGGAGAGTTTATTACTCCGAGAATCCCAAAACACGTAAGTACATTCATGAAAAATGACCTTGTCCTCAATTTGAGACACAGGCGTGGTAAGAGTAAGATTAACCAACCAGCAATTTACATTACAATGGGGGCAGAAAATAGACTACTGGTCATACAAGGTGGCTATCCAGTGTTTGTGTTACCTGATGAATGAGCACTGATATGATTGCCTTGATTGGCCTTCAACTACTCATGTCAGTTGGTATTCAAGGTTAAGTAACAGTGACAATCAATGAGAGACAGATTATAGTAAATAAACTTTGATAAAATATAAAAATCTGGTCCATTCATCAACGGGTTATAAGAAGCTGTTATATCGAAGCCATATTATTTCCATCATACAAGAAGTGGCTGTCGTGACTCAGTGATCTAGTGGATGTCTATGTAGTGTCTTAGTGAGAACAACATCGTTCACTGGTAGGTACATCCAGCTGACGAGTCCGAAATAGGCAGAAACACTCTTCCCGAATCCCACTCCTAGCCAATATCTATCATCGACATGTAACATTAGCTTAAATCTACAGTTTGATTAGCATTCGGCAGCACCCCAGAAGTTTGACAAGAACTCTGAGGAGCGTGCTGATTATATTAACTTTAGTTAAGAGTGACAGCAGTGAAGAATTTAAACTGGCGTTATAAGGCTGAAAAGAGCCTGGTGGCTTGTGTGAATGATTCAAGTCAAGTGATACCCTTCACAAAGGTGTCTCAAGGAACTCCCTATCAATACCTATAGTATCCTACTGTTCATCATAAAAGATTAAGAGAATGTATCAAAAAATAGGGACACTAATGACCTACCTTATAGGCTTCTTCTTCCTCTGCAAATACTGGTTCCACTTGTGCCAGTGGAGTGATAAACTCTGCAGCTTTTAAATGCTTTCTGGCTAACTGAGCAATACGCCTTTCTGTGATCACTTGACTACATGCATAGGCAATATGACCAGCTGTATAACCATCAGATATTTTTGATAATGAAGTTATGTCTAAATCTTCGCTAAGTATTCCACCGTGACGTATAATTTGTGCTCTCCAAATAACTTGTATGCACAGTGATAAAAAGTAAACAAAATAACTTTATCATTTACTTGTCTTCATGAATGACTAATGAAAACTTGGTTAGTTTATTTTGCAGGTTTATGAGGATTAATTTGACGATTTCAGGTTGATATTCACCACAGATGGATTTAAAACTACAACCAAAACAGGCTGGCTTCAGGAAAAATATATCATGTGTGAATCAAATTGCAGCGCTACGCTACTCATCATCATAGAACAGAGCATAGAATGGCAGTCAACACTCTACCTCAACTTTATCGACATTGAAAAGGACTTCGATCGAGGCGCTGACTGAGAAGTAATTTCCCAGCTGCTTCAACACAATGGATTTAGTGCCATAAACCTCTATCAACCTCATTCAATAGCTATATGCTATATGACGACCCTACATGCCAAGTGATTCGCAATGAAAAGCTCAGTGATGCCTTTGAAGTGAAGTGAAGATAGGAAGGAGTAAGACAAAGCTGCCGCCTACTCTCATCACCAATGATCTTCCTGATTGTGGTTGACTGGAGTAAACTGGAAGGGATTGGATCATTCCACAGACAACTGTGAGGAGTGCGAAGAGGGGCATACGCCGTTTGAGAAGACCGGTGAAAAGACCCTACACGATTTGGGTTTCCCCGATCATGATTTATGTCCAATATCTCATCCCAAAAACACGAAAATATACAGGCGAAAACCAACAAGCTGACAGAAGACGTGAGGCAGCGAAGGAAGACAGTACTTCTTTCACATGAACTTATACGAAACAGAGGTTGTGAAGATATCCAACCAACAACAACAACAAGCACCAATCAACATCAATGGGAGAGATCGAAAACAAGTTGTCTCTTCCACCCACCTACCCACCTAGTCAGCAGTTTCAAATACAGGCGACCACAGCGATACACATGAGGATGTCAAAGCCACGATCGGAAACACAGCGTGACACGCATTCCTCCATCAATCTGAAATCGGTGTGGAAATCTACTCCATTGCACTGCACTGCACTGCACTGAATTCAGCACAAAACGTGAACAACATCCGAATTTTCAACACTAATATCAGTCAACTCACTCAGTCCTTCTGTGTGATAGTTGAGAGACTTGAAGTGTTATCAAAAGAATTTTCGATAAACTACAGACATTCATCATCAACAGTTGACGCCTATGCTCACTCGATACTGAGGATCAGATCAGATCAGATCAGATCAGATCAGATGGATGGCGAGAATGGTCAGAGTAAGCAAGGAGGAAGTGTGTCTGTCTGTCTGTCTGTCTGTCTGTCTGTCTGGCTGGCTGTCTGTCTGTCTGTCTGTCTGGCTGGCTGGCTGGCTGGCTGGCTGGCTGGCTGGCTAGCAACGAACCAATGAAGCGAGAACCCCCTCGACCAACAAATATATACAGAAGAAGAAAGTGGAGATGGATTGGATTGGACATACACTAAGAAGACCATTTGAGGACATCACGCTCCAGGTCATGTGTTCAAGTGAAACCCCTTTGTGAAACGACTAGGAGTAGATGGTGTTAGGAAGAGATGGAAGCTTGTGGGCAGTCGTGGAGTCATGTTGAAAAGACTGTAAAGAAGGGAGTGAAATGGCGACATGATACTGAAGCCCTATGTTTAACTAGGAAGGCAAGGGATAAATAATAATTCACCATAGATTAACATCAGCTGGAGTAACATTGGAAATCTGGCAGCAGCTGGCATTCTCATCAGTGCCTACTTATGACATCTCCAGGGACTGAAACCAAGACCATCAGGTCATACAGCTGGTATACTAAAACTGAGCCAATGAGTAAGGCATCTGATGGTTCAAATATTTACATTTTAAGAAATATTTATGTCGAGAAACACAGATAACTTACTGTTTCTTGAAGAATAATCTGGTCTTGGTATAAGAATAATCTTTTGATATAAATTACAAAACGGTCGTATATCTGCTTCAAATGGTGCTGATGAACAACCGACAAGTAGGACACGATCATTTGGTGTTAAAATTTTCATCGCTTTCGGCAGTTCCTTTTTAAGTCTTTTTGGGTCAGTCTAAAATAGTGAATATAAAAATATGACAATTTAATTAGTAGAAAGACAAAAAGAAAGTCAACGAGAGAGAAATAGTTGACAGAGAGATTGAATGGAAAAAGCGAACATATATGTATATTTAGTGTGGATTACTATCAGTTTATCATTAAGAGACCCTGGACCAAGGTTTCATAATACTTGGTACTCACTAACACGGCGTATTTCTAATCATCAAGAAACTAGTCTTATCTCAGAAATATGAACTCATGTCACAGACTCTAGTATTGAACCATTCAAGCTACTTCTGACCACCTTAGAAAGGAATGATTTTCATGAATCAGTTTTCAGATGTTGTTTAATACGGCTACCATGTTTTAGATAGAAGAATCCTTCAAATGGACAGATTATTCCTCCATATTGTAACAAAAACGCTGGTACTTATTACAACTGACCAACTCATTGACTGATTGGTTATACTCTCAACCGACAACAACAACAAAGTAGAAGAATCAAGCCTATTGTAAGATCACAGAAAAGGATGAAATTATCTATGAGTCCATCTACAATAAAAGAACGCCTAAGTACCCTTTGAGTTTCATCGATTTGTTTGAAGTTGTGCTAGACACTGGCTTTTATGAGGCAAGATAATCTTCAACTGATAAAACCCGTATGTAGATAACCAATCTATGATTTCCAACTTGAACTTATTTGATAACAGGTGGTATTAGAAATACTCACTGTTTATGAATCGAAAGAAAAGCTGTGAATTTTAACATTTATTACCAATTTATTCATTAAAAGATGACGATGATATTTCCTAAAGTTCTAATGAGTAGCCATAACCCGAGAAGCCAGACAACGTGGACGTGTAAACAGTTGCTCAAAGATGGCATTGAATGAAGGTCACGTTATATCGCGAACTAATAAAAATAGAAAAATTCAGACCACTGAATTTCGACCGACTTACTTAAGGGCTAATGCGTTTCGTCGTAAAACTTGAGGGTTCCGGGTTCGACCCCTGGCTAGATCATAGGTGCAAAAAGCTAAGGAGACCTAATACTAAGCAAGACGAACTAAATGTCTAGTGCTGTTAGGTTTTCAGTGATCCTCCAAATAATATCAGTTTGTGATAAGTACTAACTTGAATAAATAAATCGTCAAAAACCTTCAATGTTCAACATAAGTCTCAGGACATTGGTCGTCATTTAACTTATTAAAACATGTATTCCAGTAAGTTTATTTTCATCTTTTTCACTCTACCAGAAGGCAATGAGATTTAAATTAATAATAACAGGAAAGGAGATGCAGTCATTTCTGAAGTACACTAACCTACAGTATCCATTGTAATTTTTTTCCCTTTTCTGCCAAAATTCATATTTGAGTAGGCTATTCATCATTGGTATGGTCATAACTATTTAAGAGTCAGGAGTAGACGGTAGAATACTGCAGCTCCATTAAAAATTTTATCGATTCAGTTTAAAAATCTTGCAACTGACTTCAATGTTATCCACTGAATGATTCAATAATAAACGGAGAGTACTTCAGAGATACACTTTACAATGACACAGTGTGTAAGCAGAATCATATGAAAGTAAGGTTAAAGCAGGAGATGTAAATTAAAGATGAAGAACAACCGTCTAGACGAATTAAGGTTGGATTGTGTTTTATCTATATCTAGAAGATCAGTAAGCAGTTCACCTGTTAGACAAATTTAGAAGTCTATAAAACAAAAAAATAGTCATTCAATTTGTAGTTTGGTGGGGAACATGTCAGTTCCTAAAAGGATCTTCTTTACGGATCTGATGTCTTTCAGTGACTTGCTTCCAAATGGAGTTCCTGAGGTTCTGAGGGGTACTATAACCTACTGGGTTAAACTAGTCCGATGTAAGGATTAATAGTCACTGATCGTATTGGACATTAGTCCTACTGTATCACAAACTAGTAGATACTAAAACATAGTTGAGTGGTTAATGCGCTTGCATTGAAACTTAAAGAGTATAGATTAAAACCCTGGTGGAGTTGTAGACTCTCTTTGAAAATAGTCAGTATTTATAATCTGCTCGGTAGTGGCTAACAGTAGATTCCAGAGTGCACACTTCGTCTGATTTAGGGCTCCTCAGCTGGATGTACCTAACCCCAGTGAGTGATGGCATTCTCAATGAGACTCGTACTTAAGTGATCTAGTGGATAACGATGTGGTGTTCGAGTCCTAGTGGGGACACTTTCACCCGGCTAAAGTGCCCTAAATAAGACGAAATATGAACTGTGAACTCCACTTTTAAGCTATCACCAATCACATTATAGCAGTGAACATTCAGATAATATCGAGGCATCCTCAAACAGGCCCATTTGCTAACGGAGGTCGATTAATTCGATCCAGTGAAATAATGGTGAATCACAAGTGTCAGCAAATAATAATACAGACAATAACTGTTGGTATATCCTTAAAAAGTAATTTCATAGCAGTGAACACAACTCAAAAGTCAAGATGTTGTTCTTTCCAGCTAACCTACAGTATCATTGTGACAAGAGACAACAATAAAGTGTATGCATCATTTCATCAAAATTCCTCAAAGTTCCCCCATAATTTCAATTCAAATTTTATACTAAATAGTTCATTAAAACAAAATAATTTGGTGGCTATTTCTGAATTGTTTCCATAGTTGTAGGATAAAAAGCGGGTCAAATGAACTGGATGTTTACATTTAAAATGTATTCATGTTATATACATTCTAAGTGGAGTGTGTTAATGAGCAGTTTTATTGGACGTCCGAATCTCGTTAACATCTAATATTCGAAGGAAAATAAATATTTTATGTACATATTTATTTGTGCATTGATTAGTCATTGGACAACAACCAACTTCATGTTGTCTAGTCCTAAATGGTAACCAAATTCTGTTGAGTATTTTCACCATGTGGTAATGAAGCTATAACGCTTTCCACTGCAGTGCAACCTTCATGGAGTTATTTAAGAAGCAAAGGGCTCAGCGGTAACGTCGCTGACTGTGGCAGTGAGCGATGAGGGATTGAATCTCTGGAGGGAAATTAGTCCCTTAGAGTTGGCAGATATGCCTTATTAAGGAGTGCCAAGAAGCAGGAAAAGTAGGTCAAGTGGAGTTCTCTGTCGATTTTCTCCAACCAAATAACACATTTATTTCTGTATACTTCAGGATAACATGTACAATAAACTGATTAATATAAAACCCTGTTGTTTTAGTTCATCAAGTTCGCTTTAGTTGCTTACAATATTTAACATTGCATTGTCATACTCCAGGAGAAATTTTAATAAACTTGACTAAAAAGTAGTCTCTATCACCCCAGCATCACTACCCTAGAACTTGTAAGAAGTATGCACCCCCGAGGAAACAATCACAACGCAATTAGGTCTCTCAATGACTAACTTAGAATCCAGCTACAAGGTACCCAATGGTTCAATTTTTCAACTTCTGTCAGCTGGCAATATAATGCGACCATCATTCAGTGATTCTTTAGTTGATATAAGTCTATGATGAGAATTAACTTTCAAATCAGTCATTTGTTATTATAATTTATCCTTTGGGTTCCTAGTGGAACATGAGGCTTCAGTATCACGTCGCGATTTCACTCTCTTCTCCACAGTCTTTTCAACCCCACAAGCTTCCATCTCTTCCCAACACCATCTACTCCATATCACCCTCAACTCGGATGCATAGCTTGTCGTTTCCCATTTGGCTTCCACTCAAACACATGATCTGGAGCGTGATGTCCTCAAATGGTCTTCTCAGTGTATGTCCAATCCAATCCAATCCAATCCACCTCCACCTTCTTCTTCTGTATATATTTGTTGGGTGAGTGGGGTTCTCGCTTCATTGGTTCATTGCCAGCGTGCCAGCCAGCCAAACAGACAGACAGACACACTTCCTCCTTGCTTACTCTGACCATTCTCGTCATCCATCTGATCTGATCTGATCCTCAGTATCGAGTGAGCATAGGCGTCAACTGTTGATGATGAATGTCTGTAGTTTATCGAAAATTCTTTTGATAACACTTCAAGTCTCTCAACTATCACACAGAAGGACTGAGTGACTTGACTGACATTAGTGTTGAAAATTCGGATGTTGTCCACGTTTTGTGCTGAATTCAGTGCAGTGCAGTGTAGTACAATGGAGTGAAGTGCAGTGCAGTGGAGTAGATTTCCACACCGATTTCAGATTGATGAAGGAATGCGTGTCATGCTGTGTTTCCGATCGTGGCTTTGACATCCTCATGTGTATCGCTGTGGTCGCCTGTATTTGAAACTGCTGACTAGGTGGGTAGGTGGGTGGAAGAGACAACTTGTTTTCGATCTCTCCCATTGATGTTGATTGGTGCTTGTTGTTGTTGTTGGTTGGATATCTTCACAACCTCTGTTTCGTATAAGTTCATGTGAAAGAAGTACTGTCTTCCTTCGCTGCCTCACGTCTTCTGTCAGCTTGTTGGTTTTCGCCTGTATATCTTCGATTTTGTGGGATGAGACATTAGACATAAATCATGATTGGGGAAACCCAAATCGTGTAGGATCTTTTCACCGGTCTTCTCAAACAACGTATTGTCATCTCGCTCAAATCAGTTAATTCCCCTTAAAGTCGTTGGCTGAACAGCATGCATTAGTTTATCAACAGGAAGACATTCGTATAAGTTAAACGTTTGCACTTTAGAAAATTATAATTCTATTTCAGTTTGATTGGGTGAAATTTGCTGATTTGTGCTGCTGGTACTGGATGATGATTGGGGGTGTAATGGATAATTAGGTCATGGTAGGTTTTAAACCAACGGCACCCGGTTACTCGCTCGGGTTTTACCAACTGAGTTACTAGACCGAATTGTAGATCAGATTCTAATTCCATTTTATTCACTAAAATGGGTCACTGGATTGAGTACTGCCACGAAAGATTTTCATTTCATCTTCAACCATCACCTATTACCAATTCCATCTCAATCTAAGGGTTTGTGACGATTTAGTGCTTTTAAAGTTGGTATTCATCACGGATTGACGTCATTTGGTGAACTATTAGAAACGCGGGAACCCTGGACAGCTGTTTTGTTTAACCAAGTATCGGGCTCCTCATCAGTGCTCAATCATAACCCTGCAAAGGGTTTAAATTGAAGCCTCCAGCTCTCACAATAACCATTTTTGCATTCAGTCGGTGAGTCAGAGTGTAATAGTCCGTATTTCCCACTTTTGTCAGTTCGTGACATACTGCAACCTCCATCCAATGACGTAGTTGAGTACCCGCCTTTGCGTACAACTTGATTTACTCTGCCGGTCATGACTTCTCATCAGAACTTCTAAAAATTTCATTTCGAAACAAGTTACCAATGAGCACCACATTGGGTGCTCACTGCTGATGGACCCTACACTTTGGTGAAACTGTTGTCCGGTACTGCAAGGTTTACAATGTTCCTCCAAATGATGTCAGTCCACGATTAATTCCATCTTGATATAACTTAATCCCCATAAACCGCCAAATTGAATTCATCTTGTGCTCATTGGTGACTGGCTTTGAGAGGTGATTCCTGAAAATCCAATGAAAAGTTGTAACTTGTGAGACAACCCTGGTAGACGTGACGACAAATATTTAACGATGACATTGCGTGATGGTCGCGCTATGTCGTGAACTAACAGAAGTATGAAATATGAACAACTAGATTTCGACCCAGTGGCTCAATGATAACGTGCTGGCCGTGAAACTAAGTGTTTCAAAAGTTATCAGTTCCCAACTGTTTATAAATAGATCTGCCGCGATAGAAAGTAATAGTGATCCCATGATAACTCCTATTTATTTTTATGTTTTATTTTGATACTTAAAGTGTATGGAAGTTAGGTATAACTATACTCCTAATGTGATCTCATCTACTACCGCCTTATTTCTTAATGTAAGCTGATGGTGATTATTCAGATCATTTCTAATCCCGTCCAGAGCCATATCAATCGGTTTATCATTATATAAACCGGTTAAATCAAAACTAACCATTTCTTCACTGTCATCCAAATGTATATCATTTAATCTATACTTCAAGTTATAAGAGTTAGTAAGTCGGTATTTTGAATGGTTTCTAATTGGGCGCAGTACCAGTGAGTGATAAATGCTTAGACAACTCATAAATTGAAGTGTTTCTAAAATCTACTACTAGCCTGATAGGATAACGTGTGGCTTATATATCTTAATAGTGTGATAGGTTCTAATGGGATTATTAGATATGATTTAGAAATGGGTACATTCGATGCATCAGAGCCATTTGAATCACAATAATATCCGCTAATTGCTGTTTCGATAAGATAGTTCACTTGGTGACTGCAATCAGATTCGTTCAATACGATCATTAAGTTGTATTCATCCAATTTAGTAATTACTATACTGAAACCATTCACAAGCTTCTTAAGAGTTTCCCTTTCTTTTAGTTTAGATAAATAAGGTTTCGGAGGTAGTATTCAACATGAACCGACGTTATTTGGGGAACCACTGAGAACCTGGAAGCACTGAACAGCTGTTCCATCATAGTATTACACGTAAACCATCCATCTAGGGGTCGAACTCGGAACTTCTAGATTTTACGGCGAACACCTCAACCACTCAGCCACTAGGTCGGAGTACGCAACATGGTTTTTTTTCTTTTGTCTCTTTAGTGTTAATGCACATTAGCCCTATACTTAATGTCTGACTGTCTTATCAGCTTAACTTTATGTAATTTCCCTTTTTATGATGATATATTCAGGTTTTATTTCATTAACTGGCACATTGAGGTTAAGGCTCCTCTCTAACACCTTCACTTTTGCTAGGCCTAAAACCCTAGGAAGTTATTCTCCACATGTGTCCAATTTTATATAGACATAATAAAATTGAACCTTAAGGCCTTACATTTGTACATATAGACAGATGAGTTTGTAAAACATTTAGAAATAAAATTCGTAAAGTATGTTAACTTCACTTTAGTAGAATAAAATCAAAGTTTAGCATAAGCTAGAAAGTTTGATAAAGTTCATTTAGACTTAAGGAGAATAACGTGGTTTGCTTAAGTGGATATGATATTTTCATGGACTGATATCAGTTGGAGAACCAGCGGGGACTCCGTATCCGACTCCTTAGCAGTACCCACCCACGACCCGATCAGGGATCTAAGCTTGGCCCTTCAGGTCTCAAGGCAACCACGTTAACCATCCAACCACTAGGTCGGAATTCTATGGTTCACACTTTCCAACTTATGTCGATTTGCGATAACACGTGACTATCACCTAAGGTCTTCAATTGGCATCTACTTCAATCCCAACCGGTTGACCCCACTGGTCACGGCTTTGCATTCGAATTTCTGGCTAAACATCTTCAAGCATGCCACTAATGAGCACTATACGGTAACGTAGATTGAGGTTTATGAAGATTTTATGAAGATTATTCTGTTTATTGATAATTTAGTCGTCTTGTATATTTATCGCTAACAGTACTGAAGTTGTTCGGACCTCTTGTTCATAGGGTTTTGGGAATATGTTTACAAAATTTCAGGTAGGCTCATGCAGCTGAAATTTCATCAAAGTTTTGCTTACTTATTAGTAGTATAAAAAGGGAATTTAAAAAAGGTTTTCACTTCATGGAACTCACAAGGTCTGTCTTTGGAAGTTTCTTTTTAAACATTTTTTCACAATCATTAATAAATATTACTGATGGTTGTAAAAGTCGTCCAACTTTGAAGACAAGATGTATTAACATTCTTAGACCATCTTTTCCAGGATACTTGTCAACTATATTTTCTGCAGATAAATCAAATAGATTAGCTCCAGTTTCAGTGCATATAATATTGATCAATGTACGTTTACCAGTTCCATGTGGACCAGCCAATAGAAGCGATTTTATCCATGGTGCCTTTCCATGAACAGTTTGGGAACCTTTAAATGAAAGGAATGAACTAATCAGTTCATCTGTCAGAAGTGATTACTGATCAAATTGATGAATTTGTTACAATTGACGAGTCCTAAATAGGATGTCCTGGATTCCATCTCTAGCCATCAAGTAAAATAAAGCTACTTAGAGTTTGAAAATGTTCAATATTCGTTTTCTGTTTAATCAGTTTGAGTATGAAAGTTGATACTGAAACTCTAACTTGTCTTATCCCACAAATCAGATCCTGTCAAATACTAAGTTAAAGAAGGTGAGGGAATGACTGACAAAGTACAGGAATGAACAGAACTGATCGATTGCTGTTGGCATACGAGCTTCTATGTGGATATTTTAGTACTACTGGTAATTCCAGTTTGGTATAATGAGCAGATAATGGCTACTAGTGGAATCCAATGTGCGTATTTCATTTTATTCAGGAGCTCATTTGATAACAACCTCCAATCAACTAGGTTCAGTCGACTACAGGAAACTGTAGAGTGGAATATCACACCATATCCGTTTCAAAAGAAGGTTCCATTTTATCTGGTGAGTGATGCTTTGGTGTTTAGATATGGGTCTGAATGGAGGTGAAATGGGCTTGCTGAATTTTACGAACAACCATAACTTTGCTGTTTACGCTATCGATGTACTTCATGTATAGTGCTTTAGTCAGCTATAAGCCCATAGACACCTCATCATTCGACGTTTATAATTTATGAGTTATTACTGTTTATTAATACAGTAGGGTACTCATAAGAAAACTTGTGTTTTGGATTTTTTGTGTAACTCAGGTGTATTTTTTGTCGAAGTATCGTTCGGTCGTCTTAGCTTCGAATTTATTAAAATAAGAAATAGACCTTGAAGTACTGCACAGCTATTTCGTTTTAGTATACAAATCTTCAGCAGTTTTTAATAGTTCTCTAAGTGATGCGAATCCGTGATGAATACTACCTTAAAAAAAGGCAAAAACTCCCATAAACCTCTTTAACAGCATGTGTATTTGTCTCTCTAAACCTCCTTTTTTCTCTGTCTCTGACTGACTGGTTAAAAGCATTTTTTATTCTCTACTTTCAATTAAACCATTATTCTCCCACTAAATATCATAACTAGCAAGCTGAACTAGTTGACAAAAGGCCAGTTGTTCAAATCCTCTTGGAAATCAATTGTTCCTTCAATGGATACGGTGTAAGTATCTTTGTTTATTGTAAAAGTATACAGTATACGGTTAAAAAGAAATACTTACCTAATGGTAGTATAGCATATTCTGTAACTAATCGACGAACATCACTAAGTGATGGTTGTGGTTCAATATTAGCTTGCCTTAATGTTGTACCTAAATACGAATATTCGCCATAATATTCATTCATTGAACACTTTTCAACTTTTTTTATTATCCCAGCTAATACTAACTCTTCATAGAGAGAAATAAGTGTCCTGTTGATTTATGAGCAGAGTAAAAGGGTAGAAAAAGTTAAAAGTAGATAGGGATGAGGGTAGAAGAAGGAAGCATTGAGTAGTAATCAAGATTAATGAAATGTATCTTTAAAATGCATAACAATTATTTCATGTAAGATGTCTGCCTTAGGTGATTTTGATGAGGCTGAAGTAATTCGGCTTTCCTTTTAAGCATATTTTTAAGCAGTCTTGGTATCATTAGAAATATGAGTTTAGTTGCTGTTCAGTGTTCGATCAGTGTGCACAATCCAGTCCTACAGGAGGTAAGTCCTGGGTCGAATAGCCAAGTGGTAACATCGCTGACTGCAACATCGGATGACATGGGTTCGAACTTCAGATGGGAAGTTAGTTCCTTCCAGATTTCAAACATATCTTGCTGAACAGTGCCAACAAACATGAGACTAAGGAGAGATAGATGTTCCTGCTGATTACTTTCAACGACGGTGAAGCTTTTAGCTTAGTGGCCACATTGCAAAATGATTGGTGGAATTTAGTCAGCACTCAGGACTAAACCAAATGAGATTGATTGCTCTCCAGTGGTTAATAAATGTGGTTTTAGTATCATCTAACTGTGGGTTTACTCAACAAGCAATAGTGGTCTCTAGGCTGAAACGTTTTGGTGCTAAGTACAACTCTAAGTTGGGAACATGAAGGATGGCTAACTGACGATTTTCATATAAATGGAAATTTTTATTTCAGATTCCAGGTGTAATTATTATCAAACTATAGATGAATCATTTTACTTTCAATCCGTGAACTCTACTTCTAATCCTCAGATTGAACGTCTGGAAGCGGGAAGTAAGTGATGCGTCTAACTTATTATCATACTGGGTAATGATTAAAAATGAAATAAAAATTCAGGTTACAACAGGATTTTAACCAACGACTAACGAGTTTCTTGCCCTATACTCTACCAAATGAGCTGTGATGTTCGACTGTTGACCAGATTTTTATTCTATTTCAATCATCAAGGGTTCTGCCCAACCGTTCGTTGGTTCGAGACCTACCATAACCCAAGTTTTCATTTCACCTTCAGTCATCATGCAAAATCAGTACAAACTGTCGTTTCTACTTTTATGGTAATTCAATTGCTCACATAAAAAAGTTTTTCAACTATCAACAAACATGCTGACAAGTCAGTGTAACATTTTTAGTCCAACCGAAGTCTTTATGTACTTTGGTTTAGACTAGTGTAGACTTTTGAAAAAAAAGATCTTTAGGCTATTATCACGAAAAGCCCCTGGTGTTTGAAAGTGATTGCACAAAAGGAAATAGTCTCTCTGTGTAGATAGTGTAAACACACACACACTACGAAGTGACAGAATATTTCTTTTATCTGTATCGTAGAGCATTGGGTCGGAAACCTGATAGTCTCTGGTTCGAATCCAACCGTGCTCCAAATTTTCATCTCACCTTCAATCATCATCCACTTTATTACTCATTCATTTGTTTTATATGTTAACTTGGATACTCTGAATATTACAAACTGATGAAGTCACTGACTGTAAGACCTGTAGTGTCAACAACACAGCTAGAACAGGAGGCGTTGCCTTGATTAGCAATCTTAATACATTTAGCTAAGTACTTCATCAGTACGAAAATGTTGATTGCCAAATTCGCCACTATATCTTCATTTGATAAAGATTCTCCTGTGAATCATCCACTGGATAGAAACGACTGTAATTGGTGAAAGATCACACCTATGATTTCACCGACTGGTATTACTAATACAGGGTGATGAAGGGAAAGTTACGCATCATGTACTCATATGACAGCTGGGTAAAGTCCTAAGTGATTGAAATGAAGTTAAGAGCCAATCAGCATTCGGGTCTCAAAGGTCAACTGAAAGAGTGTGTGGCTGGTAATCCACAAGCCGCTTGTTTGAAGCTTATTACGATACAAGTTTATGTTTCATCTTCAATCATAATCCCGTATCAGTAAATTGTTGGGTAATTAAAGTATGTATGCATTTTCTAGATCTGTAGACTCATTGTTCGTCATACTTGTATAAAAACACGAAAAAACAGGTTCCACGAAGTACGTGGAAAAAGAACTACTGTGTATCTGTGATATTCAAAGTGGAAGCAAGTATCTGGAAAAGTTCATCATCATCAACATTGTAAACCGGAACTCATGATGAAGAACCTTTTATTTCTGCAACTACAATTAAAGGGAGAGGCTCCACCTGACATCCTATAGCAACGCCCAGCTAGAATGTTTAACTGAACATTTGCATTTTGGCATATCTTTCAGTGATTGGCCAATGCTCAGTCTGAGACCTACCTAGTATTAGTTAAAAAATTTTCTGGCATCCATTCTCCTTCTACCTTACCAGTAGAGAAAATGATGAAACCTTACAGGCTCAGGTGTACAGGAAAGTAACACACACGGATCAAATTTTAAATTAAAACAGTCATAATTCAATGTCCCAGAAGAAAATTTGAGCATAAGTACCGTTCTCATGTGTTGTCTTTGCAACACTCAGCAATTGTGCAAGTCAAAAGAAAACCATATTTACAAAATGATGACAGCCAATGACTATGTCATCAACTTCATGAACAAAGAACACACATCAGGACAATTACCTCAGTCTACAAAACGAACCACTTTACCATGTATCAAAGATGCATTAGGCCACATCAGTGTGTGCATACCAGTTTACTTGCTCTTGTAGAGCTGAGTACATCGGTCGTACCATGCATCCGCTTGTAAAAAGTATCCGCGAGCACTACCCAGCCTGGCTTGTAAAGGCAGAACGGAAATGCATCTTCAGTTCGATAACAGAACACCTCGTGAACTCAGGCCACTTAGCTGCTTTCCAGAGCCCATTCAAAATTCCCTACATGGTTTGATCAAACCACTCGAAGGGAGTAAAATCAAAGCATCTATCTCTAGCTGAAGCACTAGCCATCCAAAAGTTCAAACCAGTGTTATGCGTGCAAAACAGGTACGTCCAACCTTTATCTTTACCATGGCTATCATAAAGCCTTGTCTGCCACAGACTCATTTTGTATCAGGTAACTACACATGTATACCTTATTCATTTTTCTACTATGTCATAGATTAAACCTGCATTACGTAATTACAATCTGATTATGAAAGATGCCTCAGAAACCTATTCAATATCAGTGTAACACACATGCCAACCAGCTAACCAACCAGTTACCTGCAGAACATCTTATCGAAACCAAAGGATCCATTGCTCAAAGAAAACAAAACAAATGTAATCTACAAAATTGGTAGTAAAGACTAACAACATCATTATATTTTGCTAATCCAATCAAATTAAATGATTTATTCTCATTGATTTCGATAAATGTAGGTGAAAACAACCACAATTTCGATTAGGATAACTTGGAAATGAAATAATAAGCAAACTCCAAAAAAATCAAGGAGTTCCTGAAAGCATGGTACTTCAGTCAAACGACATTCAACAGAAACATGAACACTGTCACAATGTATAGTTCGGATATGGAACACCTATGAGAAATTTGCCAAGTCGCATTCTGACCCAGTGACTCAATGGTAACGCGCTGGCCGCGGAACCTGAAGGTCGCGGGTTCGATCCCTGCTGGTGGGGTCGTGGGTGCGCACTGCTGGAAAGTCCCATACTAGGACGAAACAGCTGTCCAGTGCTCCCAGGTTTCCTTTGTTCCTCCAACTGATGTCAGTCTACGATGAATAACAACTTGAAATCGCATCATCTTTGATCAAGACGAAATATCCGAATATCTATCAAAGGGGGAGTATAATCCACTACAGTCCGTTTCGTTCTGTTGCATAGTTGTGAGACATGGTCGTTAAAAAATAGAAGACATGAAATAATTGCAGGGTTTTGATCATGGATGTCTTCGTATGATTGTTTGCATTTGGTGAAATCACTGTATAAGCAATGTTGAAGTCAGGTGAAGGGCACTAGGTAAGACATACAAGTTGATTGATGAGGTTATTAACATTGATCGTATGAGATGGTTTGTACTGAGCATGCCAACCCACTGTCTACCTTGACGTGCCATGGTAGGGGAAGGTGGATTATGTTGGAAAGCGGTTCAACGTGACCAGATCAAGATGTGGAATTAGTCAATAAAGTTCCTTGCTGTTGGTCTGAGCCGTGTGAGAAGATGTAGGCCACCTGCTCAGGGTCATCAAAATGAAAGGAATCAGTGGTAGAGCACTCTTGATGATACGACTGAAAATCGATAACAGTAACGTAGATGTATTCACTCTTTAACATCTTTAAAAGCTTGAATATTCGCAATAACGGTTATCTTCAGATTGTTTATTCTCTTACATAACTTCAGATACTTCGATATCACTCCTTTTCTATCCTCCTGTTCTTTTTGTATGACTTTGAAGAGTGACAACTTCAACCTATGAACTTCTAGGCAAGGTTCTAAGTTGATTTTTTCTGTTTGTCTAACTCTTCGACTACTATCTGTTGATAAAAATCTCTTCATAACATTTCTTTCCCTGGATATTTTGTCATATTATTCGGCACCTTATCGAAACACAATCATAATTTATCTATTTTCTACTAGATTTGTGATTAACAGTCTTCGCATTTTTGACTTGTGATGAATAATCTTAATTTTGAAGCTCCATTTAGGTGAAGATATCTGTACAGTCGCACCACAAGATGAGACTGTATACAATTCTGGTTTTAAAAAGCCTAAACAAGTGTTCATTTCTCCTGAAAACTAAAGAATAATTATGCCTCCAAATGACAAGGATACATCATTCTGTGGTTAATGGATGGCAACTACCCTGCAACGAGAATCGATAGTTCTGCGTTCGATGCTTCATGAGATTGTAGGTTGGCACTGCTGTGGAACATACGGCTTCAGTATCATGTCGCCATTTCACTCTCTTCTCCACAGTCTTTTCAACCTGATCCCACAACTTCTCGCAAGCCTTCATTTCTTCCTGACACCATCTCCTCCTAGCCGTTTCACAAAGGGGTTTCACTCGGGCACATGACCTGGAGTGTGATGTCCTCAAATGGTCTTCTCAGTGTATGTCCAATCCAATCCAATCCAATCCACCTCCACCTTCTTCTTCTGTATATATTTGTTGGGTGAGTGGGGTTCTCGCTTCATTGGTTCGTTGCCAGCGTGCCAGCCAGCCAGCCAGATAGCCGAACAGACAGACAGAGAGACAGCCAGCCAGCCAGCCATACTTCCTCCTTGCTTATTCTTACTATTCTCGCCATCCATCTAATCTGATCTGATCCTCAGTATCGAGTGAGCATAGGCGTCAACTGTTGATGATGAATGTCTGTAGTTTATCGAAAATTCTTTTGATAACACTTCAAGTCTCTCAACTATCACACAGAAGGACTGAGTGACTTGACTGACATTAGTGTTGAAAATTCGGATGTTGTCCACGTTTTGTGCTGAATTCAGTGCAGTGCAGTGTAGTACAATGGAGTGAAGTGCAGTGCAGTGGAGTAGATCTCCACACCGATTTCAGATCGATAAAGGAAGGCGGCAACTTTGTCTTACTTCTTACTGTCTTCACTTCACTTTAAAGGCATCACTGAACTTTCCATTTTGAATCACTTGTCATATGGTGTCATCATATAGCTGTTGAATGAGGTTGATAAAGATTGTTCCTACCATAGTATTGCATTATCTACATAGGTATATCGATTAGTTTTCCTGCTAACTGGAAACCCTTAGCCTTCTGCTTTTCATTGGTTGATAGATTGAGTTAATATTAAAATGTCTATTAACTGCTGATTGTTCTAAATTCCAAGATTCTAAAATTTCTCTAGTCTTCTATTGTATTTCCCCTATCGGACGGAGATTGTCACACTTTTCCAGTTTGAATTTGTGTCTACATGCATTGGTGTGACCAAAGATTTGTCGCAGTCATTCACTGCTAGTTGTATTGACAAAGAGTAAGACTATGACCACTCTGTACAATGTAGTGCTTTTCGCAGTCAACCTAGCTGATTTTCTAGATAACAAAATGTGACAGATACCTATTATTTATAAGTATTTTTCATAAGAAAGTAATTTTTACCCTTGAGACATCTTGGTTGCAAAAATGTCGGATACAAGCTGTGTAATTAAATATCTTTTGCAAATTGTAGGGTATGAGTTGTGAAAAAACTTGTCAATCGACTATTAAATATCGGTTTTATGTATCTTAATCCCTTAAGAATTTCATAAGTTCTTCATGCTAGCTGTACATTAAAAAGGACAATTTTACGCCCACCTTCTAAATTAAAAGTAAACCTTATTGATGAATGGCAACTGTTCAACACACATGATATAAAATTCAGGTAAGGTTTATCTGACTGTTAGAAATATGCATATTTTCACACCAAACCTTTAAAGACATTTTTAAGTTTAATTTGGATGTTTGTCGGGATTTATTATTCTCAGGTTGGTATTCATCATGAAATGACATAAGTTGGGGGGATATCGGAAACCCAGGGGCACGGGAAAGCTGTTTCGTCTTAGTATGAGACTCCTCAGCATTGCGCACCCGTGATCCCGCCCTACGAGGGGTCGGACCCAGAACCTTCAGGTTCCAAGATCAGCACGTTACTATTGAGTCACTCGGTCGGAATCTGACATAGCATGATACACCACTAAATCTCCACAAACCCCCAAACTCAAATGATCTAGTGCTTATTAGTGACTAGCTTCAAGAGGTGACTCCTGAAATTCCAATAAGAAGTCGTGACCAGTGGGGCAAATCTGGTGGACTCGACGACAAATACTCAACGATGACATTGGGTGGTGGTCGCATCATGTCATGACCTAAGAGAAGTTGGAAATATGGACCATTTGACTATGACCCAGTCGCCATGCAACCTTAAGATCCTTGGTTCGATCCCTTGGGGGGCAGGGTAATGGGTGCGCACTGCTGAAGAGTCCCATACTAGGACGAAACAGTTGCTGTCTAATGCTCCCAGGTTTCAGATGTTCCTTCAACTTATATCAGTTCATGATGAATATTTTTAATTTTCCGAAATTTGAACTGACTGAATTCACAACTGTAAAGCTCAAGCGACTTTAATTGCCACCCTAGCAACTAGTGAAATAACCAATCTGATTTCAGAATTTCACTTAGGAAGGTACTTTTTCATAGAACAAAGTGAAGTAATTGACTAGCTCGTCAGTTGCTAGGGTTGACTTTGAAGTCACTTGTACAGCTGTACCTGGATTATTAGTTTCCACCTCTTCTAGTAATACTGTTTTCCTATTGGCTAGTTGAAGTTTGAATGTGTTGAATATGATAATATATAAATCGATATACGCGCAAGAACTGAAACCTAACCTCGAAATACAGCAGAAATTTTATTCCTCCTAGCGGCTGTTTCGGAGACGAGATGGATAAGAGTTTATCCATAATCCATCACATGATAGCCAGTTGTATCACATATTTTCTAACGAAAGTATCACAGATTAATCTTGTTAACGGAGGTGATAAAGGTGAGAAGTTGAGGTTAGTTGACAGCAGCGATCCCGTGTTAATTGTTAACTAAGTAGATAGTTTAACATCTATGATAGATCACAAGAAAAGCTAAGTAAAACGATTTTCTTCTCCTTACCTATCTGGTGTAAGATCTTTCTCTTTTTTCTTTTTGCCTTTTTTACCCTTTTTCCCTTTTTTTGATCTTTTCTTAGTGACACGTTTTACACGTTCTTTGTCAATTGCAATTTTTAAATTTCTTAATTCTTGACGAAGTAATTCATCAACCTACATTCAGAAGAATCACATGAATAAAGCATAAATCAATTACTTATTTTAATTATAACTAACCTATAGCGAACATATGTCCAGGTTTGAATCCCACTGTGGCATACATATTTGGTTTCCTTCTTATTACTTTCTCCTGTCTGTTGGAAACTATTGTATCTGACTAAGTTTTTTTTACAAACCTGCGATGATCAGATCTTTGTGCAAAATATATCCATCGGAATATGAAAGAAGAACACGTATTTCAACGATGAGTCACTTTTCGGTGATTTCATTTTCAAAACTATACAATCGAAAATCTATACATTTTTTCTAGTATAAAAATTTAATAGCTAAAAACGGTCTGTTCATATTTAACGATGTGATTTATTGACAGAAAGATGGAATTGCCATGGAATCCCCATTAGGTTCAATATTAGCATACTGGTTTATAGCTAATTTGAAGAACGGATCCCTGAAATCAACGATGGAAGGTTTCATCTGTACAAAACGTACATAGATGATACTTTTACTATCTGTGATCATCAGTACGATTTGAATCATGTTCTACAGATATTCAGTAACTGTCACTCAACAATTAGATTCACTTTTGAGGTCGAAAATTCACTTTCTTGTTTTATAGATGACAGGAACAGCTGATGGAACGTTAAGTAGGTGAATATACAGAAAACCAATGTGAAACGGTCACCTGACGAACTTTAATAGCTGAATCCTAATGAGTTGTAATCGAAATCTGATATCTCTTGCCACTCTTATTAGACTAATCTACAATCTCGATGTGTTAGACGAGGAAATTTCTGTTCTAAAGGAAGTCCTGATTGAAAACGGATCCCTATCACACTTCACAGACAAACAGATCAAGCCTAAACCTCTCAAAGAGAACCCTATCACCGTGCTAAAAGAGACACTCTATATGAATATAAACTTCAAAGGTGATTTTACAGCTGACAGTCTAAAAAGGAGGATATCGAAAGCTCTAAGGAGTCTATTCTTTGCATCAACGCTGAGCCTAGTATTCTCTTGTCGCCCAACGGTTTCCAACAACTCAAAGGAGAAACTTTCGCACCTGACCACTTCTATGTGCATATAACAATTCACCTTGTCTTGTGGAGTCAGATATATATGTCGTTCGACACAACTATTATCCAAAAGGGTTAAACAACACTATCTCACATGGTTACAAATAGGTAATAATGGAGCAATAAGGAGTGCTGTAGTTGAACACACCCTGAACACAAATCACGCTCTCTCAAGAATCTCCTAGTTCAAAGTCATCTAAAGGTGAAAAGAAACCTCTTGAAAGCTGCATGTCTTCGTATTCTCTGCATCGCCGAAGCTCTTGCCATCCGAATGGAGAAGGCTGAATTGTGTACACCAAAAAGATTTTTCAACCCCCTCTTAGTTTTCAATCTCCTCTACTCCCCCCTTTTCTTTTCATCTTTCTGTTTCGACACTATTCAGTTCTTGAGTAATTTGTTACTCATTCTTTTTACTATGTTCCGCCTGATCACAATCCAGTTCCCTTCAGATTACTTTCTTATTTTGAGCAGAAAGGCAGCTTTTTAAATCATAATAATAAGGAAATCTAATTGATCATTTCAGCTATTATTAAGGTGGCCTTTAGAATCACTCGTCACTTATGTGTACACATGCCTCTTCCTTGAAGTTCACTGGATTAAAAAGGGTAAGTGGAAAACTTAATACTGAAACAGGCATGTGACGTATATATATAATGAAACAGTATTCTTGGAGTGATTTTGAAGTCCACCCTAGCAATTGCTGAGAATACAATAGGCTACATCTCTGTGTCCTGTGAGAAACTATCTTTCCAGCCAAAATTCCAAAATCTGATTGGTTGCTAGAGTGGTCTTTAAAGTCAGTTGTATATTGGACTGAGACTAAAAGCTACCCTAGTAACTGCATAGCTAACCAATTACGTTTCTTTATTTGGGCTAGGTAGGTAGCTTAGTCATAAATACCGAAACGTGATTGGCTATCTCAGTATTTATTACGGTGATCTATAGAGCTACTCGTATTTTTTATTTGTTCCTCCTACCTATCACGTCTCAGCATAAATCGTATGATTCTCAGGGTCATTATAGCGACTGATGAAATGACCAAATAAGTTTCTTCATTTTATGAAAGAATGGCATCCTTGCCAAAATAAAGAAACCTAATTGGTTAAATTGTCGATTGGCCGTTTAAGTTACACAAGTAGAGTTACTTTACTGGTCATCCTAACAAAAGCTGACATAATCAATTATATTTCTCAAATTTTATGAAAAACTACCTTCCAAACAGAAACTCTGAAATCTGATTGGTTAGTTCAGCAGTAATTAGGATGACCTTCAGAGTTCTTCATATAAATCATCTCGAATACTTTTAAATCGAATCATACACCAAATGATTTTCATCACTTGTGATTACTTTACCTGAATGCGTATTTCTGCTTCAACTTCAGTTCGTTTTTCTTCCTTAATAATTTCTTCATCATGATGTTGCTGAAAATTATCTGATTCATCACGATTTTTCCATAGCACTTAAGTATAAAATTATTAGCAAGTTATTATTTGTAGAAAATAAGTTAGAACTAATAGCACTGAAAAGATAAGAAATATTGATTTGAGTATAGAGATGTTCGTTCAGGGTTGACTTTAAAGACTACTCTAACAACTGCTGCGATAACCAAGTATTATTATTATTTGTCCCTTGCATTCAAAGAGAAACATAGGGCTTCAATATCACGTCGCCATTTCACTCTCTTCTCCACAGTCTTTTCAACCTGACTCCACGACTGCCCACAAGCTTCCATCTCTTCCTAACACCATCTACTCCATATCACCCTCAACTCGGATGCCCAGCTTGTCGTTTCCCGTTTGGCTTCCACTCGAACACATGATCTGGAGCGTGATATCCTCAAATGGTCTTCTCAGTGTATGTCCAATCCAATTCAGTCGAATCCATCTCCACTTTCTTCTTCTGTAAATATTTGTTGGGTGAGTGGGGTTCTCGCTTCATTGGTTCGTTGCCAGTGTGCCAGCCAGCCAGCCACACTTCCTCGTTGCTTATTCTTACTGTTCTCGCCATCCATCTAATCTGATCTGATCTGATCTGATCCTCAGTATCGAGTGAGCGTAGACGTCAACTGTTGATGATGAATATCTGTAGTTTGTTGGGAATGCTTTCCATGACGCTCCAAGTCTCTCAACTATCACACAGAAGGACTGAGTGACTTGACTGACATTAGTGTTGAAAATTCGGATGTTGTCCACGTTTTGTGCTGAATTCAGTGCAGTGCAGTGCAATGGAGTAGATTTCCACACCGATTTCAGATTGATGAAGGAATGCGTGTCATGCTGTCTTTCCAATCATGGCTTTGACATCCTCATGTGTATCGCTGTAGTCGCCTGTATTTGAAACTGCTGACTAGGTGGGTAGGTGGGTGGAAGAGACAACTTGTTTTCGATCTCTCCCATTGATGTTGATTGGTTGGTGCTTGTTGTTGTTGTTGGTTGGATATCTTCACAACCTCTGTTTCCTATAAGTTCATGTGAAGGAATTGCTGTCTTCCTTCGCTGCCTCACCTCTTCTGTCAGCTTGTTGGTTTTCGCCTGTATATCTTCGAGTTTGTGTGACATTAGGCTGATATATATTATGTAAAACTACCTTTCTAGTCTGAATACTGAAACCTGATTGGTTATTTACACAGTTGTTAGAGTGGTCATCAAAGTGATTCTTTGTTCAGCGTCTATCAACGAGATTTAATGTAATACGGTGTCATAAAACTAACCGCCCTTAGTGATTAAAATATGAACTTGAATTGACAAAGGTGGATGAAACTTTAGAGCCTTAGAAACATCAAGTGAATATCTCAGACTGTTGATCAATGAAATAAGAGTGAACTGACTGAAGTGACAATTGACTGTGTCAGTGAATTTATTCAATTCTCAAAACTAATCATTCTGTGACAGTCACTGAATCCTATCTAAAAAGGATATTAAAAGAGAGAAATCCTAACCAAACTACTATGCTTAGAAAAAAAACAAAAACGAAGAAACAGGAAGTTAACAAAAATATAAATGTCCTTATCGACTGGATTATTTCCTAAATCAGCTGGAAAGTGGAAAATGTGAATCACAGACAGGTGTCATTGGTTATATCATTTTATTTATTATAAAACTCATTCTACATATGACTTAATTGGTTACATTGCTGCATAGCTCCACTGGAGAGTTTTCAGTTAACCCTTCATCCATTTATTTACTACTCACAGTTCGGAAGTGATTGTATGTTGTACTTGAAACTGTTTTGATCTGAACATTTCTTTAAATTGTCGTCTTCATGTCACTATTTACAGCATGACTAGTAGTTCATTTTCTGCCTCAGTTTTCAAGGTAGTTCGCTCATTGGTTAGTGCCAACGTTTTACTATGTTATTGACTCAATATGCGGACAAGGTCATATTTCATGTGTATACATACGTGTGTTTAGCTTAATTGATTATTATTCTCGGAGGAATAAACTCTCCCATCCAAATTCGGTCTTCTTCTCTATATGTCCTGTGGGTTGCAGTCAGTGACTGTTGCGTACAACGTTAGCTGTCAGTTAAGCGTGCGTATTATATCTGCTCAGAACAGATAACCAATGGGTTGTTTCATCTCTATGAACCATAGTGCCTTGTGGTCAGGTAATTTAGTTATATATACAGATGAATGAGGTCATCTGAAATGTACGGGCAACTACTGCCAGACTTTGTGTTTTATAGTGCGCGGTTGAAACGACTAAGTTTTGCACTTGATCCTATTAGGAGAGGGGTAAATTGAGTATGCCAGAATGAGCAACTTTGTTCAAGACCAATCACGTTCAAGGTCAGCGTTACATTGACTGGTTACTGGAGAGTAAGAGGTGTCATGTCAGTTCGTGAGCGTCAATATGGTCACCAAACTAAAACGCTAGACAACAAAGCGCACTTTGAGTGATTTTAGGAAGTTATGGATGAGTGATTAGATGGCTTCTGAATGTAACGAGTGTGTCATGTTTTGTCGAATACGTGAAAAACATTCTTTTTCCATTTTATTTTTCATTTTCTAGCTAGTAAGTCTCTTGTAAATATTGATCCAAACAACCATGAAAATTTACAAACTATAAAATGAAAGCTACACTCTATCTATTGCACAAGCAGTGGTTATCGAGACTCACTGGCCTGATGGAGAATGCTTTGGTGTTTGAACAGAGTGATCATTGGTTTGAGTCCTGATAGGTAAAACATCAATCACTGGAAGCCAAGTACATCCAGCTGATGGGCAGCTCAGGTAAAACAGTTACAATTGTTCACAAAAATATTCGCAAAAATTAACAGTAAGTCTACAAAATTTACAGTAAAAGCAGTAAAAGTCATGAATATTGTACACATGAAAATGAGCTCACCTTGATAACTATGGCAGCCTTCGTGCAAATCACCAAGAAACGCTGAGGGTGAGATTTTGAAACCTTCCGATTCCTCCTAGATTTTGTAAACATTGGTGTTTAATGATAGATATACTGTTACCACTACTTCTACTGCTACTACTACTACTACTACTACTACTACTACTACTACTACTACTACCACTAATAATAATGATAATAATAGTAATATTATCATCATTTATGGATGGTTGAATCAGAACTTTATGGACCCAAAGTGAATAAAGTTAGGCAGTTTATTGCAATTGTAGATAAGTTTCGTAGCTTTGGGTGAGGATCTGAATTTGTGTGAATAGCTCAGTGGTAAGATAACTGACCTCAGTAATTGATAACACGACTTCAAATCCCTCCGGCCATATCAGCTCTGTCCAGCAATATTAGATACACATTAGTGATGATTACCAACAAGGATGAAACCCAGTACAAGCAAGAATTTCTGCCGATTGCCATCTGCTATCCAACAGTACGTAATATTCTCTGGAATCCTATATTTAACCGTTAATTTCTACCCAACAAGAAACAGGTTAGTTACATATAAATAGCACCCCTTTTACGAGGTCAGCTAGCTTAGTTATGAACTATTCATGATTAGATGTTAGGTTTGAAAACACTTTCTACCTTTAAATTCCCTCTGGTAGTCATCAGTATCGCTTCAGTTTTTTTCGTTTCTTTTTGTAAACGGATTCAGATTTTCGTTCAAATTCCCTTCCTTATACAGTGAACGCTGATGACTTGAATTCACAAAATTTCATTTTTTTCATTGAGGGACAACTTACTCTCATAGGACACACTTGTGTACCAAAGCTTCACATAACTGAGCCATTATCAATCAAAGTACATTACAAGTGAAACACTTGTCTAAGCTCGGCTAAACGACTAAAATGTGAACGGTTGGTTAGGTATTTAATGTAAACTGACAATGATATTTTCTCTCGAGGTGACTTGATTTCATCTTCCATAAGCTACTCTTAGGAGAACATAAAAAACAAACTGGTGCATATCAACAGTTGCTTTCAGATTAGTGAGTCAAGTCATTAGTGAGGGATATTATCACTGAAAAAGATGCTTAAGTAATTCATTTTCGAAAAGGATGGTTAGATGAACACGAACAGCGGTATGATCAATGTCTCTCTCCTCGTCAATTTCTATGAGAGTAATTAAAGTTTGAATCGGATTCTATAACTATCATCTATCGAACTGAGAATGAATTGAATTGCCTATGACAAAGTATCATATCTTATTGCGTCAGAGTGCTTATTTTCTTACTTAAGATATCAATTAAAGTGTAGATTGCTCTCTAGTCATAGTAACAAAATTTAACAGAAGTCATTAGCCAACAACAGTAAAAACAAGTTACGTTGATGTATCGGAAAACTCTTAAGATTTTTAATTGTTTAGGGTTCAAATAAAGCTTCTGATAGAACGCAGTGTAAATGGAAATCAACACTTTAAATCATCATCTGTAAGAAAATTTCGGATTTCAATTATTTTCACATTACTGTGTGGTCGGGAAAAACCTTATTGGACAATTTGTCTTACAGTTGACCAATCAGAATAAGCCACTTAACTTCCGACCTACTGGCTTTAGATGTTCATGAAAACCGTATATAAATGATGTATTTTTGTCGAATAGATTGTCACAGACTGGTCTCTGCCTTCTGGTTTTTACGGTTTAATGAAGTATAAGGTTCTAAGTATCATTTGTCATATTATGTTAGTTATTTTAAAAGACATTTCATCATGAGTGTATTGACAACATTATTGTACAGCTCAACCGTAAAGCTTTCGACTGACACCTCATCAGCTTATGTATGACCTATATTTTGGAAACAATTGCACATTGAGGGAAATCAAATGTCTCAATTCTTGTAAATTATGGTGCGTTGTGATCAGGTAAGTCAGCTGTATATTCAAATGAATCAGATATCTGGAAAGATATGGACGGTAAACACTAGGCTTCACATTCTTTTGCGCATCGTTGAGACAGTCGTACTGACTGACTCATCGTGTGTGTAGTCGGTGGACTGAGTATACAAAAGTGGGCAAGTATGTGCGAGACCAATCATACTCAAGGTCAGCGTTAAGACTGAATTTGAAAAATCATGTGCTTAGGGTAATTACAACAGGGCAAGATTACGAAACCGATGCTGTTAAAATTGGATAATTAAGTAATCAGTGGGTAGAAAACGTATCCATACCGCATGACTAAGTGGGTAGATGGTGGCTTGTTGGACACAGAAAGTGAAAGTTCTGGGTTCGACAACTTGCGGGATTGCGTTATGTATGCGCACGGCTAACGAGTCCCATACTAGGACGAAACAGCTGAGCAGTTCTAGCAGGTTTCCAGTGTTCCTCTAAATGATATCAATCCATGATGAATACCAACTTGGAAAAACAAATACTGTCTAGAAAAGTGTCACTAAAAACGTCGAACCCTTGAACGGCAGTTAATCACTACGAAAACTACGAAAATAGATTATCTGATTGTCAGCCATCAAAATAACTAAAGAAAGAACTTTACATTCATGGAATTTCATTTCATTTTAATTCATCAGTTCTGACGGGTTGTTTGCTGAGGAAATCCCAGCTCGGATACAGAAGAACCGTTTGGCATTTACTAACTTGGATCACCTGTAGCACCGACTAACAGGATATTTGACTGCTTATCATGGGTCGTGTATGCTCCACTTCAGATCGGTTCTCTTCTATTATACGGCTGTGAGACATGGCCTTCAAAAGTAGACGACATGAAGTAATTGTAGGGTTTTGATCACAGATGTCGCGTCATATGGAATCACTGTATGAACAATGCTGAGCTTAGGCGAAAGGTACTAGACAAGATAAGTAAGTCGTGAATCTTCAGCGAGTGAGGTGGTTTGGACATGTACTGTGCACTGCGAGTCACCCTTTACCTCAACATGCCATGCTACGAGTAGCTAGATTATGTTGAGAGAATGTTGAGGGTGGCCAGTCCGAGACATATCACAAGTCCATAAAGTCTCTGACTATTGACCTGAGTTGTGTAGAGAGGTGGAGACTATCTAGCCGGGGTCATGGAGACTCTTGGTGGAATGGCAGGAAATCGGTCAGTCTGGCGTAAATTTATTCGCTTTCTGATGTCTTCTAAAACTTGAATGCTTTGAATAACTTTCATTTTTAAGTTCATCCTCCTTCCACACACCTTTGTCTATTTTGGTATCAGTCTTTTTCTGTCCCATTGTTGTTTGTATTTTACTGTGAAGCGAGTGTGGCAACCCGAACTTATTTGCGAAGTTCTAAGTTGATTTTGTCCGTTCATTTGTCTTGATTTTCACACAAACAGTAAGAGTATAAATAACTTGTATAATTTAAGATTATGAACAACAGTTGTTAAATTTCTCAGATAATTAACAGTTTATTGCGAGTGAATATAGTGGATAAATGATACCTGGTACTAGTCGTCTTGAAACATACCTCTCCTTTTTTCTTCTTCTGTTTATCACCCTTTTTAGGAGAAGGTTTTTTCACTTTCCCTTTGTCCTTTGCTTTTCCCTTTTGAGATGTCTCCTCCTAAGATGATAAAAAATTATTAGGGCCAAATTAATTTTTACACAACGAGGTTTACTACTGAAATACTTGTTTTCAGTAACTAACCTTTTCTTGTAATTCTCTTTCTAGTTCTTCTGGAGTCTTTTCTTTGAAAATCACTGCAGAACCTCCTTCATCTTCTTCTGGATAGTCAGGGAATTTACCCGTTGCATCTCTAATGAATAAAAGATTCGTGAAATAAACTACAGGAAAGCAAGAAACCACGTAATATTCATGCATACTATTTCAATCAACTTTATTCAGGTTACATTTCACTTTAACATGCAATTAGATCAGGTAAAGATAAAATCCTGAAGGTTCAGAAGTATACTATTATTATCACTTTCAGCAGTAATAGTATGGAAATCATCTTACTAGTTTACACCACGAGAAAGTAGAAGTTTGTTTCCTTAAAGTGACACCATCTGCTAGTGAGGAAGGTAACGTAAAGTTCCCTTGGGTTTTCATCAAATACTAAAGATTATCAGCATTTATCTTGGATCAGTCAACAAACAAATAAATGTCAATAAAATGAATGTACGCATATAAATCTTGTGATCTCTACTGTCCATCAGTAAGACATATAAGTAAATTCAGCAGAAATGAATGCAATAAAGCTAACATTCGAATACTGCATATTTTAGCAATGTAATAGTTAATGTCATGGTTGAGCCAACTGTATCTGGTAAGCCAACGCAAAGTCATACAATCTCATGGAAATGAGGTGAATTGTGAACTTATCAAAAATAATTACTGTTTTGTCTTTTAGGAGTTATCACGGTTTGTAGCTGAAACGTAGCGACAAAAAGGCAGCCAATACAGAAATTGTTTTCAAATCATGATTTATCCATGCACTGACGTGGTTACCTGATTGGACAAATTTGACGCCATAGAACAAATCAGATTGGTTCATTTATGGCTTCATTTTCTGAGAGTTTGTAATTATATATACCATGTTTCAAGTTGCTATTCGTCGTAGACTGACATCAGTTGGAGGAACAAAGGAAACCTGGGAGCACTGGGCAGCTGTTTCGTCCTAGTATGGTGCGCAGTGTTAGTCTACGATGAATAACAACTTGAAATATTTTCAAATCCTCACAACTTCAAAATTCAATATATACCATGTATTTCTTTTAAAAAGTTGTTCTGCAGTCACAAGCCGTCTTTTGTCTTCTGATTTACACGGCTTAGGGAAGTATCGAGTGTACAGGAGAACAGTCCCATTACTCGTATCCAGTTCAAGTATCTCGTTCGTTTATTATTAGAAGCCACGTCATCCACCCAAACCGCAGTCATATCAGTAGCTCAATCCAGAAAATAACTGAATAAAAAGGTTAAAATTGAAATTCGCAAGACTAATATGTAAGACCTCTGATGCGTGCTTCTGAGGAGTCTCATACCAAGATTAAACAGATTTCCAGTACTCCCAGAGTTTCAAGGGTTCTCCAGATTTTATCACTCCCTGATGAATATTACCTTAAGAATAAAATCCCCATAAACTTCAAACTATATGACCATATAGTGCTCGTTATCGACACGCTTGGAGGTCGATATCGTGAAGTCCTAGTAGGAGGCCGTGACCTGTAGGGTCAACCATTCAGGATCAAACCAGGTGCCAACTGGAGATGTTGTTGATAAGTCACGACATATCATTAATTCGCAGAAGTAAGAAGCTATGAATCGTCAAACTCTGACCCAGTGGCTGGATAGTTAATCCACTCACCGCGAAAACTGAAGTTCCTGGATTCGACTCCTTGCGAGGTCATGGGTACATAGTGCTAATAAGTCATCAGGTTTTCAGTGTCTCTCCGACTGATATCATTCTGTGATCAGTTCTACCTTGAAATGAATATCTTTGCCTGGTTTGTTTAAACATTTATTTATAGAGGTAAGTTTAATAAATTCGAAGTTTTTGTCACTTCAAATTAATCAGTTGATCGAAGGACAATGATTCCTGCAATCACCACAAAAATAAACGTATTGCAAGGTGTCACCTAAAGATTATAATATGAATAACTTTGTAGACTATTCGATTGAAAATGTTTTAGTGTACTATCCACTTAATGGATCAGAACAGAAGAAAGAGGTAAGTATCTTAAAAACCCTATCAATCTTTCGTATTCTTGGTGTATCTATGCCTCTAAAATGCGTAATATATGGGAATAATCTTCTGTTGTACGCTGTACACCGTTATATTGTTTGATTAAAGACTTTCACTAAGGAAATCTTCAGAAACTCAGCTATCTGATATATTATATGAGAGTTTAATAAGGATACTAGTTGTGCCTTCGAGGAAAAACAAATAGAATGATTGGATAACTTGAAACCTATTGTAACCAGTTGCTGCTTTATGTCCTCCACAGTCATAAAGAGCTCACATTTGGGAAAAAACAACCCCATAGCAAAACGGTGTGAGTAAGAGGTCAACAAATACATATACAAGGATGGTATGTGGATAATTTACTGAAGTAGAGAAAGAGGAAATGGGACAGATAGAGAAAATGTTTCTATAATCTTATCCTCAATCCTTTCTCCCCACTTACAGTATCTTCCGCATGCTTCCACTATCAATTAAGCTAACTATACATTTACACGGAAACAGTAATTCAATGCACATAGTTAACTGGTATTCAAAAAAAATCCATTTCCACTGACCTGCATTCAATAAACCATTGACGTATTTCATCTTGCATTGTTTCACGCATATCTGGACCTTCAGTATCACGAATTTTCTCTTTTACATTGATTAAAGCTTGTTGATATTCTTGTTCATAGATATTCTGGGTTACTCTACGCACAGCATCTACTCGATTTGCTAGTTTCACTATACTAGATTTTTGTACAATATGATGTAAATTTGATGGTGTCTGAAATGGAAATTAAACAGAATGAAAATTATTTAAAGGATATGTCAAAAGGCTTTAGTGTGATCATTTAAAATACTTTAAATCTTTTCACATTACTAGATGAACCATATAATATGAACATGTTTCCTGGATAGGCTAATGATACAACTCATAATCTTCACTACTCTTGTTTTATTGATTAAATAGTTTATAGAGTGATCAAATACTCTTTGCCTGTCTGTCTATCTATTTGTCTGTCAGTCAGTTATTCGGTCAGTCTGTCCATCTATCTTCACTTAACCATCAATTTCTAATATAACGCATGTTTTTGTCGTTTAATACTGGTAATTTCCCATTACTATACTGGGTTGAATTGCTCAAACACTGTTGATAGATGTGCTCTTACTCGAATGTCTCGATACTTCCCAAATATTCATTACACTACAGTTTGCATAGTGATGGGTACCAATGGAGGCACATTTTAGCCTATTCGGGACTCATCAACTGGATGTACCTGTATCCCAGTGAGTACTGTTGTTTCCCCGTGAGATTTGAACCTAGTAGTCATCGTTTCAAACGCTAGAAAGTTATACACTAAGGTTATTTGTTGATATAGACAATAATGTTATCAAGTGAGAAAAAATTATGTATGGTGTCACTACCATCAAGCCATCACATTTCAGTTGTAGGTGATGGTAAATACTGACATTTCCAGATGCAGCTATTCAAAGTGAGTTACTTCACAAGCTTAAGGTTTGCTGGGCGGCCGTTCATGCGTTATGCCAAACATTGTCATCAGTGTATCTAATCCAGTCCTAGAGAAGATCAATTGTGGCATGAATAGCTCAGTGACTGGACCACTGGGTTCCTTCGGGATTACAGATACACTTTGCTGATAAGTGCCAACAAGCACAAAAGCTTATCAAGCAGAGGTTACTTCTGATAACCTCCAACCAACTTGTAGTCAAAAAAACGTGCACTGCAATAGAAAGCCGGCTAGCTTGATGACCACACTGAAAAGTCATCCCATAGAATTTAGTCAGCACTGAGGATTGGTTGCTATCAAATGATCAATCAATGCAACTAATTGTCTATACGCATTCTACATCTATTCAATATGTAAAGTTCTTGTTTCATATGCCTAGAGTAACTACCGACTTCAAAATAAAATATCAGTTATGAAGTTAGCTAATTGAAAAAGATGTATACGTATATTATTCTGTACATAGTTCCGAAGCAATCAGTCACTCCATAATACTAGACAAATATCAATTCAACCAGACTTCTACCTCCTAAATATCGAACCCTTAATGATGAAATTAGACAAGAGTTCTAGTCTTTATAATTTATTCAGTCTAACCCAGACTTATGCAACTTTATTTTTTGTAAGTACCCTTAAAAATCAAAATCTCAGTTAAGCTACTCTGAAAATAGCTCTAGGTCGACATTGAAACATTGATCATGCATAAATCGTTATGTATAAATCACAAAACTCTTTCTTTCCTAGTAAGATAAAGCTTTTAAAAGGTGATTATCGCATTTATTTAGTATTATATATATATATATATGAAAGGGTGTGCATTAGTGGCTCATTAGTTTAAGCAGTTGCTGGTTCAAGCACCACTACCCCCACTGACGTTTGGACAGTCAGGTAGTATCACTAAATCTCACACAATAAATGTGGTTCACTGCATATTACACAAATCTGCATAGAGTTACAGGATAGTTTTAATTTTTCAAATCATTTTAAAAATGTTTTCATATCTTCAGTAGTTTTGTTGAATAAATCAACTATGAAACAGGTTGTACAAGTTAACTTTTTCATGAACACTTACCATTCCAAGCCAAATAAGTTCTTTATTACGTATTTCACGGACCATTTTACGACAACGAAAACCTCGCCATAACTAAATATAAATGTTAACCATATAAATGAAATCGAAACAGAAAATTTTAAACAGGAGGTTATATATAAACTATTTCATTGAATAATGTATTTTTGAGATGAATGGGGATTTTTAATTTAGAAGTAGTATTCATCATGGATTCATATCAGTTGGGGAACCATTGGAAATCTGGGGGCACTGGACAGCCGTTTCGTCCTAGTATGGGACTCCTCAGCAGTACGCACCCACGACCCGGCCAGGGGTCGATTTCGTCTTCTGTTTCTTCATTAGGAGTATTGAGAAATGAACCATTTCTTGGACTGACATGGGTTGAGGAACGTTGGAAATTTGGGAACACTGGATAGGTGTTTCTTATGAGACTGTTCAGCAGAGGGTACCCATGACCCTACCAGGGATCAGTTAAGATGAATACTAACTTGAGAGTTCAATAAATCCGCACAACGTGAGTCAAATTCGTTGGCTAAAAGGTTATCTGTTCATTACGAGACTTGATGGTTTTGGGATTGATGTTAACCGACGAATAAGGACAGCCGGTTGTTGTTAGGAGTTAATGGGTAAGAGACCCTGCTTATGTTATTGCTTGTAATTTCTCGTCGTCGACCGGATCGAGCTGATCAATCCATGTTGGCATACGAGCTCCTATGCGGATGCCTCGATAGTGCCTTTAATTTTAGTTTCATCATAATGGTGAACAATGGCTAGTAGTGGAATCAAGGACGTGCATTTCGTCTTATCTGGAACTCATCAGATGGATGTACGTGTCTCCCAGATAGTGATATTGTTCTTGGATTCCACTGCTAACCACTGTCCATCATTAATATAAACAAGCCTTGCTTTCCGGTAATCTTCAGGAAGGTGTTCTTATAACAATCAAGACACTAGTGTTCCCCGAACCTACATTACACAGTACTGAAGTTAAAGACTTGACCTCAAAGCTGTTTACTGGAATGAATGTCAGCTTAGTTTCCACATAGCTGCAGATACACTTTGCTAGTGAGTGGTAAAAAACAAATTCTAGTATGTGTTTCCTGTCAATTGACCTTCGTTATGTACGAAGATAGGTAATACAGTATATCTTTTGAACCTGGCTCCACGACAGCCCACAAGCTCTCATTTCCTCCTCGCACGATCTCCTCCATGTCACCCTCACCTCGGACGCCCAACTCGTCGTTTCCCATCGGGGTTCCACTTGAGGTCCTGGTCTGGCGCATGATGTCCCCAGTCGGCCTTCTCAGCGCATGTCCAATCCATCTCCACTTCCTTCTGCATATTTGTTCAGCGACAGGTTCTTGGTTGGTTCGTTCCCAGAGTTCCTTGTTGCTTATTCTTTCTGGCCATCTGATCTTCAGTAGCGAGCCAGCGTAGGTGGCAGTTGTTGATGAATATCTGTAGTTTGTTGGAAATGCCTTCGTAACGCGCCAAGTCTCTGAACCATACAGAAGCACTGACTTGACGTTGGTGTTGAAAATCCGGATCTTGTTCCATGTGCTGAGTGCGGATGATCTCCACACTTGTTTCAGGTTAATGAACGCCTGTCTTGTTTTTCCGATCCTGACTGGCTTTGACGTCCTCGTCTGTCCCGCTGCCTGTAGCTGAAACAGTGCTGCCTAGACAGGTGAAAGAGGCTACTTCCTTTGGGATTCTCCCGTTGATGGTGACTGGTGCCTGTTGTTGTTGTTGGTGGTGGTGATGGCCTTGATTGGGTATCTTCATCACCTCTGTCTTCTCTATATTCACTTGAAGTCCCGTTTTCACTGCCCTGCCTCTTCTGTCAACTTGTTGGATTTTGCCTGTAGATCTTCGAGTTTGTGTGACATTAGACACAAGTCATCGCCGAAATCCCAATCTTCTAGGATCTTTTCCCCGGTCCAGCGTATGTATTCACCTCTTCTCGCTCCTCACTGATTGCTGCATGATTCAGTCGACCACAATCAGGAATATCCAGGATGATAATAGATAGCCTTGTTTTACTCCTGTCTTCACTTCAAAGGCATCACTGAGCTTCCCATTGTGAATACTGATTACTCATTAGTGGAAATTATTCTTATAGTGTTCATTCTACTAAACTGTTGAAAATGAAGCAGTTCATAACAGACGTTTCTCCTAAACTTCTGTTAAGTTATGTCATTTCTTATTGACTTTATGGAAACGATTTGCTAAGGCGATATGAAACTGGTTCCAGTCAAACAATATGAGAGGAATTCATTGGTTATTATATATGTCCAATTCCTACACTGTTGAACAATCTATTCTGGCTCTACAACTGCACAGAAATATAAGTAAACAGTTATGGTAATTTTTTTTACGTATATACTTTACGTAGTCACACAAGGCATCAATCACACTAGTTGTTCAGTGATAAATCAATTTCTCTTACTAATTTCTAACTCAACATATTATTACTGGATTTTTTTGTGTAATAATGATGAAATATGTTAATCTTTTTGCTGAGAGAAGATGATAATGATCAAGTGTATAGATTTTTTAAAACCCCTGATTGCTAAAACAACTACTTTATTCTTATCGTTTGAGTAGACCAACGTAGAATCTTTCAAAGAAAGTGTAATGACTTCACTTGCAACCCCACGTTCTTCACTCTTTTAGTTTATGTAGTTGTCTATCGTTATTTGGCACCTTCCTTGATGGTATCCTTTGACCTGAGGCAGATGTAATCATTACAAATACATTTATGATAAACTTAATCCTTTCATAATGCATATTTCCTGTTTGTTTTTTTTCATTAAGTGATAATCAAGGAATATGTATGTTTATCTATGCTGAATTAAATTTACGGCCTCTCATTTTGAATTGAATATTTTTTGGATAAGCAAACCAAGCTAACAACAGAAGTTTTTCATGTAAAAATCTCAAGAAGATAGTAAAACAGGAGTTATACCTTCTGAAACATTATTGCTGCTTCATCAGGTGTATAAACCTTTTTGTCTCCGTCTTTTGCTTTTTCAGCCTCTTCTTGTCGACGAATTTCTTTCATAAACTTAGCTCTTATCCTTCCCTGGCGTGCACGTTCATGTCGTTGAATTAAACATATAGCTTCTTCAACAGTCATTGTGATTTCTTCTTCCTTAAATATATAAACATACATCATATAGATGAAGTAATAATGTGACAATGATAATGCTGAAATATTTCAAGTTGTTATTCATCGTAGACTGACATCAGTTGGAGGAACTGGTGCTTATTGGTGACTAACTTCGAGAGGTATTCCGAAGTTCCAATGAGAAGTCGTGACAGGTGGAGTCAAAGCCTGATGATCGTGAGGACAGTTACTCAGCAATGATATTGGGTGGCGGTTGCGCTATATTCTGAGCTAACAGAAGTTGGAAATATGGACTATTGGATTCTGACCCAGTGGCTCAATGGTAACGTGCTGGCCGCTGAACCTGAAGGTCACGGGTTCGACCCGTGGCGGGGTCGTGGGTGCGTACTGCTGAGGAGTCCCATACTAAGACGAAACAGCTATCCAGTGCTCCCAGGTTTACTTTGTTCCTCCAGTTGGTGTCAGTCTACGATGAATAACAGCTTGAAATATTTCCAAATCTCTACAACTCCCTCAAAATTCAATAGTGCTGAAATGTTAAAAAAACCAGTGATAAGAGAATGATTGATATATGTGTCGAACTTAAGGTTAGAAATGAACAGACAGACAGAATCAACGTAGAACCTCGCACACAGATGCATCGATCCATAATGCCTCACACAATTCACAGTAGAAGAGTAAGTGCAGGTGGATAGAAAAGAAGTTGTATCAAAGTAGGCAAAGGAGCAAGGGACGAAAGGGAATCTGAGAATTAAGGTCAGTCAAAACATCCAAACTATAGATGACGTTAGAGACTGAATACATCTACGGTATTTTGACTAATTTCCAGCCATATCAGCAAGTCTCTCTAACCAGTGATTCTTATGGTCTCCAGAATCCCAGTCAGGTAGTCTGCACTCATCTATATAGCTCAGACCGACAATAAAAACCCATGATTAGTGCCACGCCTTGCTCTGGTTACCCTGAGCCTTCTTTCAATCTGCTCCAACTTCTGTTAGTATTGTGTATCGAAGTAATTGATGAAGGTGATAAACCGATACCGGCTAATACTAATAGTAAGTTAGTGAATAGAAGAGGCAGAAGCAAGTGTTTCAGTGTAAAAACACAAAATTCAAATTTGCTAGGAGATAAAACTTGACAGAAATAATAGTTAATTAGTGAATGAATACACTAGTATTTGGCTATCTGGTTATTTAATACTTCGCATAAACATTATTGATCTAACTGTGAAAGAAATTTCATCTTACAATAAAAGGGACTGATTTGACATTTCCCCACTTAAAAATATATCTATTGAGGATGAGTTATATGATGCATGATTTAAGGGCGAGTCTGCTGAATACCAGCCAGTTCTCTCTCTCTCTCTCTCTCTGTGTTGGCTGGGCGAGATGAGCATTCAGTACCAAAGCCTAAATAAGGCACAGTCAAAACAAAAGGGAATACAAAATGTTCACAGAGATCATTTCATATTTGTGATCAAATTGAACAAGTATATACAAGCCGGATAACGTTATCTGTCAGTATGAAATGAGTTGATACCGAAGCAAAGTTAGATTCGAAAGGATAGAAGTGATTCTGGTGCACAAGAATTTCAACTGACAGCATATTAAAAGAGGAAATACATGAAACTATCTCATAAGTCATTGAAGCGAACTGCGATAAGCCACTTTTTAGGTATAAAAGCTGCAGAAGTATATAACTTTCAAAGATAATAGAAACTTTAGACGAAATGTTATGCAACTTAGCCGCCCCTTAGATCCACCTAAGTGTGTGAAATACAACACACTATAGCAATTCAGTCTGAAAATATGATCTTCAAACCAACTGCTACTTGTTACAAAAGGTTTCACTTTAGCTTCTACCAGGATATTCTCTAAAAATTACTCTTGATGTAGAACTTAAAGGATATACATCTTTTGCAAATAGTTTCTTCAGCCTAGGTTACACTGACACCAGTTGTTGAAATAAACTCCTAGCACATTTCTTAAACTAATAAGCATCTTTAATACTATCATATATACCACGTTAAATTTCCAGGAATCTATCTGAGAAATTACTAATAATATCCAGTAAACTATGAGATCTACTTGTTCTCTCCTCTTCTAGAGAAAACATCTATAATGATACGTCAATTTCTACTATTTTCTATCCATTTCTTACTTAATAAACATGTGGTCTCTTTCTAAGTGAGTACAGGGGAGTAATGGTGTGTCTTGTACGTTCTTTGCAGCCATCACCCACTAGCCTATGATTGTATATTACGTTCACTTTAAATCCATCATGAGAAAATCGAAATTTGTGAATTCAGTTATTACAGCTCTCAAATAATTCAATCGATTTATATTGGAGTTAAGCTTGTGCTTCTAGTGAATTGTCTTTAGTAGAACATAGTTTTCCGGAGAGCTTCAAAGATTAGCTATTTTCAAACCATATCAAATACTTAGTAACAACAAGTTAACTTCTATTTGTGCCAAAAGGTTTATACATTAAAATCCATCTTTTTGAAAGAGATGCCCAGTATATAAAATTTTACTAGTATAGTATTCTAAACAAGATCGAGGGACCCGAACAGGAGCTGATATGCAAAAGGAAACTATAAGTATCAGTAAATAACAACAACGACAAGATTTTACTGCTATATTTCAAAAAAGTAGTCAAAATGAATTACTGAAATTTATAAGACTGGTATTGGTCTATATACATCATAATGGTTACAGTTAGTAGTGAATAAAAAGTAGTAAACGCTAATCTCATAACAATATATCTTACAAAGTAGATCTCTTACTTCCAGAATGGGAGTGATATTGATATGATTTTTATCATTTCTCGAATCTCACAATCAGAAAGTAATGGTATATCAGTCTGTAATGACTGTGATCACTACATAGATAAGTCTGTGAGCTAAGTATAAACTGTTCTACCAGCTAGTAAATAGTTTTCAAATACACACACATAGGTAGAGAAACTCTACCATGAAAATAAGACACCCATGAATATGAATAACAATGTGGAGTTCACGTTGGAGTGATAAGTTGAAGGAAGCAAACGTAATGCAAAAAATTAAAAAAAGACTGATATTACTGTGGACAGAGACAGGCGAAATCAACGTTTGGCGTCACACATAAGTGCATCTCTTTAGACAGTCACACTTTAAAGTAGCAAACAAAGGACAAGTAAATAGGAAAGAAGATTGATATCAAAGCGTAAAAAAATGGACGGGAGGAGGAGGAATTTGAAGATAAAGGACAGTGTAAGTATTCAGGCTTGAGAAGACGTCAAAAAACTAATATATCTGGACCACTGTGATTGAATTTCAGTCATTTCATCAAGATCCCTTAATCTTTGATTCTTATTATCTCGGGGATCTCAGTCACGTACTCCACATCTCCCTATACGGCCCGGAACAATATTACCCACATAGTGATTCCACCACCCATGTGCAATCCTATGAAGGAAGACAGGTGGTAAGAGAAATCTGCAACCACTTCATATATTCTACATTTTATAGCCATGTCTCTCAGCCGCATAGCGGAACAGAACGGCTCTGCAGAGGAGCACATTCCTAATTTGATAAGTAGCCGGATATCTCTTTAGTCGGCTCTAGACGTGAAGCAAGTTGACAAGTGTCAAATGGGTCTTCCTTACCGAGCTGAGATACTGTCAACAACCAGACAGTTCCAGCTGATGCAACTCTCTAAATATGTGAAGCCAACGTATTCTACAGATCACCCTCGCCAATCGGTACTGTTCATTAACCATTCGCTAACTTGTCGTTATCCCCTTCTTATTTAATCCTCACTTCTTGTTTCGACAAGTGGTTTTACTGGTGTGAATTTTTAAATTTTCAGTTACAACGCAGATTATATTTTCAGAAAGAGTCGCCGTGAAGCAACTCAGCAGACTGGTCACATTAATAAAGTTGCGCATATATTAGCAAATAGTTCTGTTCATCCGATGAAGATTAGGTCAATATGCCAACGTATTGAAGCGAAATGTGGCGCAATATCCCATTAAAATTCAAGAAACGGCCTACAAAATAGTCAATAAAATCTTTTTATAGCAAGAAGTCTGAATGAAAATTTCAGGTGCAGCTTGGCCTCTACTACAATTAATCTTGAAGGTAAGTGATTTTGTTTATAAACTGTTTTAAAAAACATTTTTACAGAGTACTTTTTTTCTTTATCTATTTCCCATCTTAGATTTGATGAATTTCGCTGCAGTCATGGTCTATAAACGTCAAGTATCATGCAGATGTTATCGAATGGAAAAAAAACTCAAGTTTATTAAAACTTGTGAAAGGTTTTGTTGCTAAGCTTCAATAGGAGCACTGTGGAACATCATTTACCCAGAATAAGTTAAGAAGTAAAATAATATATGTCGTACATCAAGAGCATTCTCCTGTACACCTCTTCAAAAAATGTGTCCAGTGTTGATGATAAATCTTTATTTTGAAAGAAATGTATGGTTTTCAAAGAATTTATTTACGTTTTATCCATTGGACAAGGTTAACATAGGAACAGTATTCCTAAAACAATGTAACCGAAATTGTTTCAGTGTAATCCGTATGCACTAAGTACAACTTGATCTTCTGCCAGTACTTAGCAGAAAACGGCACCATGATACATGTTAACAACCTGCATAGAAATTTATTTCCACTAGTTTGGATCAACTATGGTGAAGACTGGTGATAAATTTCAGGAGCTATCCATCCCTTCTGTTTAAAATTCACAGTATATTTTTGCTTCCAAGATATCTTAATCAAATTCATTTGAAAAGTAGAGTGACTTTTCATGTTCAGATTGATCTTTGGCATATTTTGTGTCTACAAATCGAAGGCTGTTGAATTTTTGCTCTTATCGGAATATTCAGCAGACGTCTTTTACCAGGCCGACACCCCAGCTAGACTCAGTATATTGAAAGTGAATATGGAAGTTTATTCGGAGGATTGGACAGTCAATTCAGAAGCCTAAGTTGAAGGTGCGTGGTGCTCCTTCAAACAGTTATATGGACGAGTGACCCAACCGTTCATTCCTCAGACTATCTCGAGGGGATGGAAACATTGTCCTCCGTGGATAAACCACGAAATCCGAATCCTGCTGCGATATAAAAAAAGTGTTGGAGTCTTGCCACCCACCTCGGTACACCCGAAGTGGTGAAGCATTACGAAGAAGCTAGCAATAAGTGTATCGCTGCTACCCGATGGTCTCGAATATGCTTTCGAACACGTCTTGCCGAGGCTGCATTGCAACATCCAAAGAGGTCATTTTCGTATATGAACTATAGAAATAAGATGTGTCGTTGTATACCCGCCTTAATCAAAGGGATCGAAACTGACTATCTGATTGAGAACAATAGGGAAGAAGCAGAAGCCAAGGTTGGATATTGTTTTCTGAGGTCTTCATATGGGAATCTTCTGTGGGCACTTATCCAAAAGTAGAAGCATTGATATCCAGCAGGATAAACTCTATGAATATCGATCGCAATGATGTGTTTCAGATATTAAGTATTCTCGACGTGGAAAAATCAACGGGACCGGATGAGCTGCACCCAAGGATGCTCAGAAAGCTTGCACTCTATGTAGAGGGACCATTGACTACCATATTCAGACTGTCTCTCAGTGAAGGGACACTCCCCTATGACTGGAAGGATGCCATAGTAACACCTATCCACAAAACCGGTCCTAGACAGCTCCCATCAAATTACAGACCGATAAGTTTGATTGGTACCGTAGTGAAAATCCCAGAAAGAGTAATCAAGAAGGCCACCACAGCCCACCTAGAGAGCAGCACTCTATTGTCTCGTTCACAGCATGGCTTTCGTAAAACTTTCTCTTGCTTGATGGACCTCCTTACAGTCAGAGAAAGTTGGATTAAGTCTAAAGATGACAGAATACCTGTAGATATCATTTTCATGGATTTTAGTAAGGCGTTTGACGAGGTGCCTCATTCCTGGTTGCTTGAGAAACTAGAAAGTTTTGGAATCACTGGCAGTCTGCTCTCATGGATAAAAGAGTTTCTTGTTGGTAGGAGACAGAGAGCAAGGATCGATTCTCAACTCTCCACTTGGATGTCGGTAGAGAGTGTAGTGCTGTAAGGCGCAGTCCTGAGCCCCCTATTACGAAATCTCCTATAGCTCAGTGCGCTGATGATGTCAAAATTTGGCTTGAAATCAGGAACGACGAGGATATACGTGTGCTCGAGGTAGACTTGAACAGCATGGTTACCTGGTCAGAGAAGTGGTTGATGCTTATCATTGCAGGTAAATGTAAGAGCATGCACTTGGGACACACACACAAGTCAAGGCGCGATGCGTTTTCGTTAGGTCCCAAGCGTGTGGCATTACCCACTTCCTCTGAGGGGCCAGCAGTCTTGATTACATTCTTCAGCCTCTCATTGAAGGATCTTACGTGTCTCTATTCCCTCTTGAAGAGGATGAATGGGGTGTTGAAGTCACCGGCAATGATGATTACGGAATCGTAATCTGCAGAGGAAGTCGGTAAGATTGCCTTGATGACCATTTCCTTATGTGTAGGGGAGCTGGTGGGGGGCCGATATATGGCTCCGAGCAGGTATTTGGTACGGCGGAAAGTCGATTGGCACCATAGAGATTCCGAGAGCTGGGTTAAGGCGGTATTGCTAACCACCCTTGCCTTTAAACGGGAGTTTAGGTGGAGAGCCACGCCCCCTCCTGCTCTGAGCTCCCTGTCCCTGCGGAAGAGTTCCATGCCAGTCACATGCATCTCTTCGTCGGAGATGTCCGGCGAGAACCAGGGTTTGGTGATAAATATGATGTCAGAGTGCTGATATTCACGCGGCGTCCTCATTTCTGCCAATTTCCCTCCTAGCCAACTAACGTTACTGTACATACATATTAGAGTGTGCCTGGTGAGAGGGGAGGGCTGGTTGTATATATTCACGGGAGGAGCGCTTATGTGGTCAGGCCTAGTGTCGCTAGTCCTCATAGAACTGCCACTGTTTCGTCTTTTTGTGTTTTTCTCAAACTGGGTCGGGGCTTTGACAGGAGGAGCTTCTTTACTTGATGTATCTGACCACTAGTTAGTGCCTGTGTGACGACCACTGACTCCAGAGGTCTTGGTGGTTGCCGTCTCTTCTCTTGTCTCGTGAGTCTAGGCACACTTTCACACATGCGTATTGAGCCACCCATGCGATCTTTCACATAATACCACTCGTGTAGAACGTCTGTGGGGGAGGAATGTGAGTCGAACTGGACGGCGAGTAGCCTGGGATTGGGCGTGGACTTCAGATGTGCTGGCTTTGGCAGTCTACTGACGCTGTTGGCCGGTATACTGTCGAGACCAGCCTTGGTTGAGTGCCATTGTTGGACGTCGTGAAAGTACTGATCTTTAACCGAGCGGTCACTTGGCAATTCTGGAATCCCATGTACAACTATAGTGTTGTTTCTGTTGGGATTTCCAACCACTGACTTTCTCTCCTCCTCTCTTATTGACCATGGCTTATCAGGCGTGGCCCGAATTTTGCAGGCATTAACAACGTCGGTTGTTGCGAGAGAAGGGGGTTGTCTTCAGCCTCTTTGGCAGTGTTCAAGGACATACGTAAAGAGGGTGGCCTATCTCGGGGTGCACGGCTTCCTCAGGAAAGGCAACACAGTGTTACAGGAAGGGGAGGGAATCCCAGCATCTGACAGTGGGTGGTCCACATTCGGCTGTCAAACCGTTCCCTCTAGATCAACAATGAGCCTGTCTATACATCAAAGTTGCATAAGATGATCGAGTTAGCCCTCCTGTGACCTGAATTCGTTGTGGGTGGCACGCCCGATTTTCCAATAGGTTTGTTGGGTACTTCTACTGGTTGTTTCTCAGTCACGGCGTGTGGGATGTTTGGGGTGGGTTTCGTAGATAGTCCAGCAGTGGGTGTCTTTAGCCATGCGCTTGACGTTCCCTGAGGCCGGGTAGGAGGTATGGAGACTTGACCTGATGTGGCCCCCATGCGTAGTGGCGTGCCTGCAGCTGGAGCTCTAGTTCCATTTCTAGGTCTCTCTGTGTTATCCTTTAGTGTTAAACCTACTCTATTCGATGATGTTGGTAGCTTTCGCGCGGCAGAGAGCATCTCTTTCAGGCTTCCTGTGCGGAGTATGGGTAGCTTCCTGCACTCGACAAATGCGCCAGAACCATTTGCATGGTTGTCTCTTCATCATCTTACAGTATTGTCGGAGGACTCTGGTGTCGCAGTGGCAATACGCCCGTCCGTGACATAGGTTGCATGCAAATGCCTCATCACCTACCAAAACAACTTTAGCGCAAACACTGCAGACGTCGGGTGTCGTAATGCAGCCTCCTTTCCAGGAAGAAAGTGCTACGGTTTGTGACGAATCGCTTGTGGTTGCCTTGTTCTGAAGCCTTTTACGTCGTCTCCTATTTACAGGCATGGTATGATTCTTGCTCAAGATAGGAATAGTTTGTGATGGGCAAGTGCTACTCTGTGTCACCTGTCTGATGGCTACTGGAATTCTAGAAATATAAGTTAGGCTCTTCTTTGAAAGTTCGGTGTTCTGCCCTACCTCTGTTTGTCTGTGGGTACAGACTAGAGAGTTGTTTCCGGCGCTATTGTCCCTTTTTGTGCACGACCGCGTTATCCATGTCAAAGCTTCGGATCTAGCATTTTGGGCAGACATGTCACTATTATATAAACTTCTTGTAAAAACAAACAGTTAACAGCAATAAGGGGGTTGGAGACTAAATACAGTAAAAGGACAGAATATATAAAGGAAGACAATTTATGTTGGCCTCCCTTCAGACACTTGTCACTTGCTTCTCTGCTCTTGACAAACGAGTTTAACCGTAGGCTCCGGATGTGTATGTATGACCAGGAAAGATTTTTCCTGGGGAATGACCTCCGAAGACGTCCGAGAGCTAAGACAGTTTGGCAGTTCAAACACCAAAGAACCACTGATAGGAGGCAGACCAGTTGGTTCAAAGGAATAATAATGCCAATTTTCAACTGTTGAGAAGTGAGTTGACGAGTACGCAGCGGTGGAGTGCATGCAGCGACAGGAGTGCTGCAAACGTTGGACCTTTTTAGACTGAGTACTGCAAGTGAAAGTTTTTCAATGTGAAAAAATCCAAAAGCTAAGAGACGAGCAAAAACGCGTCATTACTCAAGGAGCGCCCTAAACCAATTTCATTTTAGAATATTTCGAATTTAGACAGAACACCAGGCTTGCATAGTTTCTTTTATCGCCTAAAATTAGCAATAACCACATACAGTTAAAGCGTCTTTCTCACCTTCGCTTCGTCGGTCTTTGTGCTCGCCAAAAGATGGTCCAGAAAATGTTCTCTATCTCTAAGTGCTCTGAAATTTTCGTTGACGAAGTATTTCGGTATTGGTATTTCCACATCATTTGGTGTCAGCTTCAGGTCTATGAGAATATCATCAAAATAGTGATAATCGGAAAGTTCTAGCTTCACCATTTCCCTCTTTATTTCTAGAAATCTTCCAATAACTGAGTCCAAAAGGATTCTTAGAAGACGTCTCTTTTGAGGATGAACAACTTGATCATAACATCGTTCAAGATTTCGAAATATCTGTATGTACTTTATGTAAAATGTTGCTAGAGTCTGGAATGCTACAGCACGGTCCTATTTATTAATATGTTATTTCAAACAAACAAGACAAACCTTTTCAGGCTTTTGTGTTTCTGCGTCTGGCTCATGAGCCAGTATATCAGTTAACTTTTCTTGTGTATCCCTCCATATTTTATTGTAAAGACTGAGTTTTAAGGAGGAATGACGAATTTACCTGCTTGACATATTGTGTTACATTTGAATGTATACTACCTCGTAACTATGACAAACTGTGGTCCAATATCCAATATCCTTTTACGAGCTAGTGTAAAACAACTGATTTCTTCGCACTCGGTTCTAAGTCTTGCGGAACGATTCCAGGTTTTTGGTGAATTCCAACGCAGCAGGCCAAACCACTCGACTGCTGTAGCTCTGGTTACCTTGACGGGCGGTTGGATGTTGGTTAAATTTGTAGGTAGTGTGCGGGTTTTTTTCAAGGACTGTGGTGCAGGTTGGCTTCTCAAGTGTTATGCCAGCAAACTATTGGTCGAACAGGTTTTGAAAAGCGGACAGAAAATATGTCCAGAGAAATTAAGGGAGAAAAGTGAACAGTAGAAAAAAACGACTAGGTAAAAGGAAAAGAAGGGGAAGGGAAGAAGAAACCTCTATAGATTCTTGGGAAAGGGTTGGTGGATAAAACTTTTAATAAAGTGTGAGAACGTAACTTCAGTAGGAAGCGAAGGAGGAAATAATAATAAAGGACGGCTTATGGGAATAGAGATTATTCTATTAGTGGGAAGTATGAGGTTGAACCAGATTATCAATGACAGTGGTGTTTATGGATTTGTCCTGTTGCGAACTTGACAGACGCAAAGACCGATCACCAATTATTCGGACTTGTTATGTACCCACAAATACGAGACCAAGGAAGAACACGATAGCGTAGTCGGATGGAATAGTATATTTGGATGGTTGTGCCAAGACACCGATGCATTCCAACTGACTGGCTAAAGAGTCGAATACGAGCAGTGCAACGTAACACGACAGCGTGCCAAATGGCGAGGATGCTTGACCGGGTGCCTTCAGCTTGGCGAGTCTAGTTAAATTATCAAGGTCAGCATCAATTCATTCCGAAGTCGTCATACCCTAGGCTATTGATTTTGGGGAAGTGTGTGACGCTACAGTGTTACAACCTACTCTATAATGGGTTGACCATACTGAGTTAGTAGGCCATATCAGCCTAGTCCATGTCTCAGGCGGATGAGGTCGTGAGTCTCTGCGTAACTGCTCAACCTCTTCTTGAAGTTGTCAGCAGACGGAACAGTAGCAATCTCAGCAGGCAATGACTTCCGGTGTGCCGCAAACTCGCAGAGAGAAATGCGAAGGTACAGGGGCTTTTGCCCTTCGGTGTGGGATTCTTCTTAGGTTGCCACGAGGATCGCCACAGTGGCCGTTAGGTAGGATGGCTTGGGTTACTTAGTAATTTGCAAGCCGTTAACAAGTCGCAAAGTAATCTACGGTAGCTTAGAAGGCAGAGTCCCAGATCTTCCAGCATGTCCTCATAGGGTTTCCGCCTCATTCCCACAAAGCCAGTTGTTGCTCGCTTCCAGACTTTCTCAGGGAGGTTCAGATTTGGTGGTGCAGTGACGTCATGAACCTCCGAGATAGGTCATATGTAGGTAATGTACAGCTTCAAAAAGAGTTTCGGGACGAGGGCACCTAGTTGACTGCGCACGAAATGCAGAATTGCGTACGCGCTTGAGATATAAATAAGTAAATACATAAATGTTTTATTCTCACGTTAAAAAAAGTTTAATGTGAGAGAAGCCAGTTTACAAGCTTCATAACCTTGACACATCCCAAAATATCTACAAGACTTGAGCCCTGAGTGGTACTGACGGAACGTCGTTAAACCCAATTAAAAACTGCCGGAGGCCCTACTGGTTATGAGACGAAAAAGGAAATATTACTTCACAGCGTACATAGAGTGCTAAAGTTTAGATAATAATAAATATCATCCTCACATAATAGGTTTAGCGTGAGGGATACCAGTTTACAAGCACCGTCAAATTCGTAATTTTTGAGAGTTTACCAACTGATATTTAGTATTAAATAATTTACATATCGAGTCATTAGTGTGCATAATCTCATTAAAATCTACTGAAATTCATGAGACGGATATGGATTCCCATCTCCCATCTCACATACAGGTTCCATTATCAATATCAAAAGCGCGCAGTGTTCAAAGTTTGCGTTGTAACCAACCGACGTTGTTAGTCCATTCGCATAGATTGCTGGTTAGTAATATAACAGTTTATTACTTAGAATGATCTTCAGTTTTTAGTTTGCTAACCACAAAGGACCCATTTATACGATCTGGAGTATCAATAAAGTATCCACAGTTATATAACCAACATGCATGGCTATATCAGTGCATATCCAGGACACCATGCTACGTTTAAAGGTGATGTAGATTAATTCTGCTGGAAATACTTGTTGTATTGGATGAAAATAGATGTTGAAACAGTCAACAGTCTGTAGACTTCGGGCATTTTTTGTATTAGCATGGGCGGCATTATTCGAGAAGTGTATTTGATGCGTAGTAAGTTCCATATGAAAAGGTCTTTTGGTACAGAGTACTGGAAAATATGTAGTGTGGAGCCACTGCAAGTAAGTGACCTCCTGAGCCAATATGTTAATTGGTCTTTAGGTTAGTCATCAGTTAGCAATGTCTCTGCCACTAACACTGTTGGGAATGGTCAGACGGTTCGCCGCAAGAAGAATCGTGACCAGTAGGTGAGTTAATCTGAGGTTAACCTGGAGCTAGGGTCTAGCTTGCCAGTGAGTATTAGTTGTAGGTCAATCCCTGTGGTGGTGCGGGAAAGTTGAGTTAAACAGAGATAATAGGGCACTGTCTGAGATTAGGGGGCACGGGGAACATGGTTTTTTACTCATCCAGACTAAGTGGTAGTGCATTAATATCCACCGACTCTGCAAGTAATTTGAGGTCACCTTGCAGTGCGTTTGATTCTGTTTCAGACGTCACAGATCTCTGTGGCTTAACATCGTCAGCGTAAGATAGAACCGAGGAGGTGAGATTCAATGGAAGGTCGTTCACAGAATGGAAGAATAGCAGTGGAGCCAGAATCGCTCCTCGTGATACACCGCATGACGATGTTCTCCTAGTCGAGAAAACCCTTCTGGCTTCGATGCAAAATTGTCTACCATCTGAATAGTCCCGTAGCAAGGATAGCATTTGACACTTGAGGTTTAAGCTTGATATTTTGCGAATAAGAATGGCGTGCGGGACTGCGTCAAAGGCCATAGCAAAATCCAGGAAGATAACATAAACAGGAACTAGGAGGTCCAAAAATACTATTTACTTATCACTGGCCGCCAGAATGCTCGAGGCGTAGAATCTATTCTTTCTAAAAACATGCCGAGCACCATTTCGGTCTGTTTATTAGAAATATCATATGGTGAAACAGTAGCATTTACTGGATAACGTTCCCGACACAAATTATTGCCCATATTCATATCAGGTAACTCCACAACTTCGAGACAGAATTTATATATTCCCAATTTTCTCTCCTTCTCTGTGATGACAAGGGTAGCAGAATTTTTCATACATCTGGGACAGGTGCAGAATCATTTCAATTGCATGCACTCGGTGTGTATTAGATAAACAAAGATTCAGTCGGTTGTCAATCTCTCCCTCCACCCAACTAAGTTAGTTTTTAACACTGTCACCCTATCCCACCCTACTGTGTGGTTGTGTATCATCTCACGCAGAGCTATAGCCGGACTTTTCTCTAGATTTCTTATCTTATTAGGATCTACTAATCTTGATTTAGCCAAGTTTTTGTGCTCCGTTATTCTAATCGGCCCCAGTCGACTGCTTTGACCTGTGTACTTGACCTCGCTATCATTGCAAGGGATCTGACAAACCAGAATATTTTGCTTAATTGCATCGATAAGATCTTGTAACCTACAAAGCTTGTTTCTAAGTGAGTTTGTTGGTTTGAGTGCCACTTTAACCTCAACCTTATTGGGACTTCTTCGTAATGCTTCTGAGGTGCCTTGCCTGCATGGTAACACAGCAGAGGCTTTGAATTGTCCCTTAACCCTGTCACCTGCATCACCATTAGTAGTGGAATTGTCACTGGTAATACCTGTATTACTGCTACTACCACTGCTAATATTTTCCTTCCGATTTCTTATGAATTCATTTATAAATTTTGGTGGGTAATTATCGAGACATGGGGTATTCTCGGTGTGTCTAATTTCTTGCCCTAGATTTTCCGACCTATTAGCAAGCTTTTCGCTTATCGTTTAAGCATTTAACTGAAATGGGGTGGGAAGACTAGAAGTCTAAGTAGAGATTCGAGTGGGTAGGTTTCCTATCGACACTGGTCTCTAGACTTCCTTCTTTTGTTTGTTTAATCTTGTAATCCAATATTGCAGGCTCACCGTCTTCATTTTCTAGATCACAGGTAAATTGGATTGCATTTAATACCGAATTTATGTGAGCCAAGAACCCATTGATGTTCTCCTATTTCACCGCTGTAAACTTATCATCTACATATCGAAGCCATATCTTCGGAATAGGACTAAATGTTTGAAAGACCATCTGTTCCCAACTACCCATAAGTACGTCTGCGACGATAGGGGATACTGACGATCCCAAGGCAACAACTATAGCTCTTTTATGTATCTTATTTTGAAACTTAAAAACTGTAGATGTTAGGCACAACCGTATTCCCGGCATGATTTCCTCGGTTGGCATCTTAGTTCTGTGCGTAAGTTCTTTATCATCTTTAGGCCCATTTCCAACTGCCTCCAGAGCCATATCAATCGGCATGTTTGTGTTAAGGCTAGTTATGTCGAAAATAACCATCTTTTCACTGTTGTCTAAGTGCATGTCGTCTAATCTGTGCTTTGGGTCATAAGAGTTGGTAAGTCGAGTCTTCGAGTCAATTCTTGTTGGGCCTAACACCATTGCTAAATATTTAGACAACTCGTAAGTCGGAGCGTTTCTAAAATCTACCGTAGGCCTGATGGGATAACCTGGCTTGTGAATCTTAATAGTACCATACATTCTACCGAGACTACTAGTTTTCGGCATTAAATTAAACCACTTTGACTCACCTAGAAATGGCTTCATCCGGTGTATTAGATCCCCTGTGGATTTCTTGACCTTATTCATAAAGGTATCCACTGACTTCTTAATTTCCTCATATGATCCTTTTTCTATATGCTCGTTCACTTTGTAGATGGAGCCAGATTTGTTCACTACAACTGTTGAGTTGCCTTAACCTGGTTTGGAAATCACTATATTGTTATCATTTTGAGGGTTCTTGGGAGGTCCCCTCTCTGACTTGGGTAAATTGGATTTCATTTTCTTCTGTCGTTTCAGTGTTAGAGCACACTGTGCTCTTACCTCATCTGTAGTTGTCTCGTCCATTGAACTTAACGCTATTTCCATTTTGGAAGTGACATCTAGTTTCAGCTCATTGACCGCTACATTGAAGTTAAGACCTTTCTCCAGCACTTTCACTTCTGCTAAGCTCAGAACTCTACTTGAGAGGTTGACAACCCGCTTTGGCTTATCTATCGTTGGTGACATACTATCGTTAATTTTGTTGCAGTTGACTGCGTGCTTTTCTTCCATGAGTTTGTTGAACTTCTTAATCTGAGTATTTTTGAATTTCTTGAATGTAGCTGATCTTGCTTTATTGAAAGTGTCCATCAGAAGCTCGTAATCTTTTTCAATAACTGTTTGTATCAGCTTACACTTAAAATCTTGGGTGTAATTCCTGGTGTGCAACTTTTTGACTGTTCTATGAATTTCTTCTTTAGGACAGAGCTTACGGAATGTAATGCGCAGTGACCCAAACGGGTTGATGGTAAGGTTAGTGGCATCAGTGTTGGGCAATGGGGTTTTGAATCATCAAAGAAACGTCAGTCATCTGACTGTTGCTTGTATAAGGCATACCACGAAGCGTGAAACCTAGGCTATACGCCTCCCGCTGACTGACTAGTCGTGGATAAAACTCCGGTGAGATGGAAAATAATGTCCGTGGTAAAACTAAAGACAGCGATGATTAAAGTATCAAACGCTACACTACAGTTTCCATCAGAAAACACTATACGGCGTCTTTGCGAGTGGTACTAATACTCTGCATGCAACCGCACTACATTCGGCCATTTTCTCTCCAGAATTTTGACTTGGTGATCATCATCATTTCTTACACCTTCAGATTTTGCTAAAAGTAAGACCTATGCATTTTTATGAGCAGCCTAAACCGTATACAGCCATCGTCCCTTGGTGTGCTTAAGTCTTCCTCACTTCACTAGTTCTGGCAGTTCCAATTTCTTGACCCCTTATTTTTCGGACTTATCAATGGCCGTTTTGTGTCCATCCCCTACATTCCTGGTAGCTTGCTTCTGCTCAGTTATCAATCCCAGGGTAACTCACTCGCGGCGTTGCTACCAGGTCCTACTGGATATTGGTAGCCGTGTTTTCCTACCACACCTCAGCTGTATGGATGATTTATCGATTGATCCTTATACAGAGGCACCATGCGTTGACAAGGTTACCAAAACTTTTGACTCCCGATTGCCCCCGTTCGAGTCCGGACACTCCTCCGGTGTAATGTTGGTTCTTTTTGTCAGGCCATTTGTCTGCAGCAAATTTCTCTTTTGCATTTTTGATGGACAACCGTTCTCACCATAGTTCTCCACCCTAAAAACAGAGACCGTGATCTGCCCATGTTGTCTCCAGTATCCCCGTGTTGTACAGCCACATATATTAGATTATGCACACTGATGACTCGATATGTAAATTATTTAATACTAAATATCAGTTGGTAAACTCTCAAAAATTACGAATTTGACGGTGCTTGTAAACTGGTATCCCTCACGCTAAACCTATTATGTGAGGATGATATTTATTATTATCTAAACTTTAGCACTCTATGTACGCTGTGAAGTAATATTTCCTTTTTCGTCTCATAACCAGTAGGGCCTCCGGCAGTTTTTAATTGGGTTTAACGACGTTCCGTCAGTACCACTCAGGGCTCAAGTCTTGTAGATATTTTGGGATGTGTCAAGGTTATGAAGCTTGTAAACTGGCTTCTCTCACATTAAACTTTTTTTAACGTGAGAATAAAACATTTATGTATTTACTTATTTATATCTCAAGCGCGTACGCAATTCTGCATTTCGTGCGCAGTCAACTAGGTGCCCTCGTCCCGAAACTCTTTTTGAAGCTGTACATTACCTACATATGACCTATCTCGGAGGTTCATGACGTCACTGCACCACCAAATCTGAACCTCCCTGAGAAAGTCTGGAAGCGAGCAACAACTGGCTTTGTGGGAATGAGGCGGAAACCCTATGAGGACATGCTGGAAGATCTGGGACTCTGCCTTCTAAGCTACCGTAGATTACTTTGCGACTTGTTAACGGCTTGCAAATTACTAAGTAACCCAAGCCATCCTACCTAACGGCCACTGTGGCGATCCTCGTGGCAACCTAAGAAGAATCCCACACCGAAGGGCAAAAGCCCCTGTACCTTCGCATTTCTCTCTGCGAGTTTGCGGCACACCGGAAGTCATTGCCTGCTGAGATTGCTACTGTTCCGTCTGCTGACAACTTCAAGAAGAGGTTGAGCAGTTACGCAGAGACTCACGACCTCATCCGCCTGAGACATGGACTAGGCTGATATGGCCTACTAACTCAGTATGGTCAACCCATTATAGAGTAGGTTGTAACACTGTAGCGTCACACACTTCCCCAAAATCAATAGCCTAGGGTATGACGACTTCGGAATGAATTGATGCTGACCTTGATAATTTAACTAGACTCGCCAAGCTGAAGGCACCCGGTCAAGCATCCTCGCCATTTGGCACGCTGTCGTGTTACGTTGCACTGCTCGTATTCGACTCTTTAGCCAGTCAGTTGGAATGCATCGGTGTCTTGGCACAACCATCCAAATATACTATTCCATCCGACTACGCTATCGTGTTCTTCCTTGGTCTCGTATTTGTGGGTACATAACAAGTCCGAATAATTGGTGATCGGTCTTTGCGTCTGTCAAGTTCGCAACAGGACAAATCCATAAACACCACTGTCATTGATAATCTGGTTCAACCTCATACTTCCCACTAATAGAATAATCTCTATTCCCATAAGCCGTCCTTTATTATTATTTCCTCCTTCGCTTCCTACTGAAGTTACGTTCTCACACTTTATTAAAAGTTTTATCCACCAACCCTTTCCCAAGAATCTATAGAGGTTTCTTCTTCCCTTCCCCTTCTTTTCCTTTTACCTAGTCGTTTTTTTCTACTGTTCACTTTTCTCCCTTAATTTCTCTGGACATATTTTCTGTCCGCTTTTCAAAACCTGTTCGACCAATAGTCTGCTGGCATAACACTTGAGAAGCCAACCTGCACCACAGTCCTTGAAAAAAACCCGCACACTACCTACAAATTTAACCAACATCCAACCGCCCGTCAAGGTAACCAGAGCTACAGCAGTCGAGTGGTTTGGCCTGCTGCGTTGGAATTCACCAAAAACCTGGAATCGTTCCGCAAGACTTAGAACCGAGTGCGAAGAAATCAGTTGTTTTACACTAGCTCGTAAAAGGATATTGGATATTGGACCACAGTTTGTCATAGTTACGAGGTAGTATACATTCAAATGTAACACAATATGTCAAGCAGGTAAATTCGTCATTCCTCCTTAAAACTCAGTCTTTACAATAAAATATGGAGGGATACACAAGAAAAGTTAACTGATATACTGGCTCATGAGCCAGACGCAGAAACACAAAAGCCTGAAAAGGTTTGTCTTGTTTGTTTGAAATAACATATTAATAAATAGGACCGTGCTGTAGCATTCCAGACTCTAGCAACATTTTACATAAAGTACATACAGATATTTCGAAATCTTGAACGATGTTATGATCAAGTTGTTCATCCTCAAAAGAGACGTCTTCTAAGAATCCTTTTGGACTCAAAGAAGCATATACTTATGTTAGGGGGTTTATCTCCCTTGGAACACTTGTATGTGCCTTATAAATCAGTACTCCAAGTCACAACTACCGCGCTGGAAGTTCTCGTATGAACAGAAAATTTCCATCCATATTTCAATGTTACTTTACCCCTCCAGATGCAGCAGTGTTGCGAAAACTTTTTCTGCGCTATAAGTTATATAGATCCCTGAGTCAACACAAACTTCTCGAAGACAGAGACAGTCGATGTTCATTAACGAGACAGTTTCCGGTTGGTGATGCCGCTTGAATTATCACTTGGTTAACTGACCGTACTTTCGTGGTTAGTTTTATAGATCAAAAGCCATAGCGCTGTACTTTAAAAAATTAAAAAGGAGAACGAATGAACTGCAAGTGTGAGAAAAGGTTGATAATAATTTAGGTCCGGATCTGAGTACAGTTCAACTGCTGCAACGCTCGTGGTTGAAAAGTTACTACCTGTGACGGTGTTTGTTGTTCTGTTAGTGAACTTGCAACCTTTCTGAAAGGCCACTCGAATCAAACACTGGCCAAATCCACTAAATAGCAGACAGAATGTCTAACTAACGAATGCTAAGACTAATGCGAATATCTGTCACGCAAATGTTATCTTAAATAGCTTGTGAAATCTGGGCGGTTGGCAGATTAGCTTTTAAGACTGAAGTTAGGACACTCGAGGCAAACAATTTTGTTAGGAAACTTTTTCGCGGCGCATTAAGGGCGAATTGGGAGACTGCCAACTATGGCGTGCAGTCCATCAAACAGACGCCCACAATTTTTTAAATGAGTGAGTTGGATGTGGTAAGGCAGATGAATTCCAGGCCTCCACAGCAATTAATTTCTCGGAAATGACACCGATTAAAATGATTTTGAGATACCACCACATAGCCTTAATTTTAATCAAGGAAGAGTTTATGAGGCCAGTGGTGTAGTCATTTGCCTAACGACACTCCTTAAGAGGTGTACCAAACTGTCCATGTGAAAGCGGAGTAGGTGGTATCTAGAACCATCCGCTGTGCAAGAGATAGCGGCTTATCTTATTATCATTCGATCATCTGAGAGCCGTAGTTTGGCAGACTAGCACTTACAATCTGTGATGGTCGACAGCAAAATGAGAATTTGGACCGTGGTCGGTGATCGTTGGTTCGAATCCAGCGGCGGTCCGAATTTTCGTTTCACCTTTAATCAACAGCCGGTATGGTTTATGTTATCTCACGGTAGCGTGACTCTCAATGTAAATCCGATGACGTCCAAACGCGTAAATTAATTCTGTTTGAAAAGTTAAAGTGCTTATTTGAAGCAGACTGTAATGCACAATCCGTTAACTCGCTTCCGCCAAAACATGAGAAACCACTTCTTGACTTCATCAGGATTTCATGTAAAACTACTGTGGCGAGGCGGAAAACTATATGATGGTCCGCCCTTGATATTAGCTAATATCTTAAATGTACCTGTAGGCGAATACGTATTACCCAAAATGTATATATGTACCACGGACACACGGGTCATGGATTAAAGTTACGAGTGGAAAAGCAAGGTAAAAGCAATGAAGGCGAAAGGGATAAGCATGAGTATTTCGCTGAATTAACGCGTGTCAGTTATCATCGAAGGTGAGATGGTTAGATAATGCAGGCATTAAGCAGTTTAGCTGACCACAACGTTAAGAATACGATCACCCACCTCATCTACAGGAGGGTTTAAAAGAAGCTATTAGACTGCTTAGATGCACTACCATATGCATCCAAACAGCTCAAGCTTTCATTTTTTTCGACTCGTTACGCTAACGTTTGGAACAGACTGCCGCGTGATGTCCAATGCTGCAAGACCATATCTCAACTTCAGTCGACCTTGAACCACTACCCCAATGAACTTGGGGTACGCAAGACTCCTAATGTACCCTGCATAGACGACACCATGTTTCCTGTTGGCCCACCAAATATCTAGCATCCAACAGGCAGTGTCTGGCGCAGTCGCCCAAGAGTTTATCAAACGGTAACTTTTGCTGAGTTACACACTACTCTATGCGGGTTTGTGGTAAATGTGTTTGATGCAACACCCGTGGTCCTCGTGATTGTAACGACAAAATAATCGTAAAAAAGAATGGGGTTCCTAAAAAACTTTTCTCCAGGTCTACCAGTGCAGCTTACTCTGCACCACCACCATATTGTCCCTATAGCCCTGACGTGGTAACACCTAACAGGCAACACTGTGATCATCACTCCCCATGACTACATAAAGCATGGATACCACCATAGCAGAAACCATCAACTCTATTTAAATATTTACAGCTCCATTAAGCTTTTGTACGTAGGTTTTCTACACATAGGCGAACACCTGGTCCAAAATTTCCTGTTCCGTCTACTCCACAGTGATATCTTCCGCCTCAGTTTAGTTTCCACTACCTTCTTGTGTACCTTCAACTTTTTCTCCATAAACTTGCAGATAAACGGTTGGCTTTGGATGCTTTGCCGAGTAACTTTTGTAGTCAGTACGATGAACTCACCTACATACACTATGGTTGATATACTCCCGTGCGGTATTTTTGTACTCCTATTTCAGGTTCCGCTTGCTTGTCGCGTTTGTTTATTATTTTCTAGACCTGATCAGTCCTTTGTTGGCGAGTGTTGTAAGGCCTAATTGCGAGGTGATCTCTTCGTCAACAAGTTCCCTCACATCTAGGGTGGACTTCTTGAAAAAATGCGTACTACAGGTTCATCATCTGTCTCTCGCTCCTCACAGATGATTAGTCCATCACCCGCCTGGCCACTGTCTTTATGTTCTAGGCCAGTGAAAACATACTGCGGCCTCCAAAAGTGTAGTGTAAAACCATCATGAATCTCAGGTACCCTTTACCCCAATGGAATCACAAAGGCTATGTGATTACCAGTTCATCCGGTAGGATTGAACGGTTTGAAAAGTGCAAATATATAGCTAGTGTTCCCCTTAAGTTTGCTAACAAAAACCGCCTACCTAACAACCTGTGTGAACTTAATATCTGGAAAACAGAGGAGTTATTCTTATATGCACAAGTTAAACTTTATACGTAGTTCAGATGACTCTAAAAGGACAGGAACTTCTCCTCTCTTGGTTTATCTTGAATCTTATTTCACTGTCCAGTTTCTCCAGTGTGCTTTCATTTCTCTTCTCTCTTCAGTATAAACGTGACGAAACAATCCTAAGCATCAATTTGGTCAAAAAGTGTCAACTTGCTGAAAATCCTACCTCGTACGTAATATTGGAAACTGAAATTAAAATTCTCCGACCGGCTTTCCCACGATTTCCTATCTTTTGAACGGCTCTACAATCAACACGCCTACTTACTAGTACCCTGAATACCACCACACACGAAACTTTAGGCACAACAACTTCTTTCCGATTTCTGGTCCATCACAAATGCAGCGGAAATCTGGATAAGCAACTAAAAGTGAGGGATCACTTAACCTAAAGGCAACACATCCTTAATAATGACGTGCGACAGATTTCTTTGGTACCTTATCTTGCCTGAATCCATCTAACAGAAGACAATTACCAGCTAGTGTATCCTTGGCAATGCTGCACATTTCACTGTGAAATCTATGAATTTTTATATGCATATGAATCCACCACTGCTGGACGACGGTTCTTCTAATGTTTAATCACTTGAGCCATGACAAATATTTCCAATTTTTTTCGAGCTGAATTACTGGGAAAAACAACACTCGAAGAGTGGGAAGTGCCTAAATTACGTAGTCAACTGGTGTTATGGCAAATCAGCTGGGTGCCACGTGGCGAAAGCACGAATATCCAGAGCTCCCAGGGTGAAACCAACCAAATCCAAAGCAATTGGTTGCGGACCAACAAATATGTATTCAAATATTAGGCGAACCCTGTGGAAATTGTCCTTCGACGAAGTACATGTACAAAACTTAGTTACAAACCTCCAGTTTTGACGGCTACTGGAGTTCCTAGCCAAAAAATACGATGGTGACACTAATCGGAACAAAAGGTCCAGTAAGGTTGTACAAGGAAACTGAATGACGTCGAGCAAAGTGAATGGTAAGTGTTTTTAAATGAATTACAGGAACGGAATCAAAACACACACAGCACCTGGATTTCAATGGTTATATGGATACACACTCATTCTTGAAATCACCGAAATAAGTTATTCTCGGTCAGTAAAGCTATGAACATTATTATTATTATCATCAAAACAGATGTTTGTCTTAAGAAACATTGGATTTTGCAGGCCATCCAATCGAGTCGACTACTTCATCAATGAAGTTGACATCGAAACACTATCCAAGGTAGATCACTTCGTAAACTTCATCACCACTGAAGTAAGTGGAGACTTGCACTAAAGTTGAATGCAATAGTTTGCAGCGTCCCGGACACGACAAGGTTGAAGGCGATAAGGGAACTTTTGCTTAGAACAGCAAAAATGCATGATGTTCACGCAAAATGTTTCCGACTAAAAAAGAGCCAGTAGGACCACTGCTGTCCGATACGCTTTAAGTTTGAGTCACGGATAGAAGTTGAAGCGTTCATCAAAGCAGAATCCGTCTTGGCAAAAAACACTGTCTTTACAGGAATAAAGACAGTTCCTGATAAGACAGTGATGGAGAGGCAGGTATAAAACTGTGCTCATAGACTTGACAGTCAAAAGACTCCAAAGCTGCAACATACTAAAGCAGTAGGTATCTCCTCCAATATACCCAAGCCTAGGACGTCTTCCACAAACTCTATCAAGTCAAATATACGGAAAACATATCGACCAAAGTGGAGGCAGAAGACTGCGAAGTGCGTGATTTGACTTGACCGCCTGAAACTAGCTCTAGACGTATCAACAGAAAGCCGCAAAGCTAAACCTGACACAGCACTAAACGCGACAGAACGCTCGCTAAAGTCTGCTGCAGACCCATAGGCTACTAACAGCACCAGCCTAGGTCCTAGGATATCGGCCACTCGATACGCAACGGATAGACCAATGCTTCCATGGAACCCAACACGTAGAGATGGACGCAGAAAGCCTATAATGATCCCGTAATCCCCCTGAAACTGAAAGAAGTACGAACAGTAGCTTCACCTAGAAGGTTCTGTGCACCGAGCTAAGTCTCAC